AGCATTTGGGGAGAGAAAATGAAGTTTTGGGTTAGGGTTGTGGAGGTGAGGTTCTGATTATATTTTTCTGATTATATCTGAAGTGATCAGGTTCTGATTATATTTTTAATGCACAGCTGACAGGACTTGCTGAAGCGAAGGAGATTTGTAGAGGGAAAAGTGTCAGAATTAAGTGGTCTGCTCCATAATGTGGACTTTGAGATGACTGTTATCTTACTGAAAGTATCAAGCAAATAGCCTGAAGTTTAGTGGGGGTTCAGACTAGAGACACAGATACTGGAATTATTGGTAATGAAATGGCTTTTAAATTCTGGAAACTGATCAAGGAATGGAGACAGAGGAGAAGAGGCCTAGGTCAAAGCCTTGGGCAGCTACAATTGGGAGGGCTGATGGAGGAAGAAGAGTTTATAAGAGGAGACTTGTGAAGTGGGGCTAGTGAGTAGGAGGAAATCTAGCTGTGTGACCTCACAGAAGCTAGGGAGAGACTGTGTCGTAAGAAGGAGCCAGTCACATTTGTGAAGGCTGTCAGGGAGTAAATCGGTGAAGAGCAGGCTAGTCAGTTCAGCAAAGGGAGGACGCGGGTGACCCTGATGACAGGTCCTCAGTGAGTGATGGAGACAGATACATGATTAGGCAAGGAAGAAGGGTGCGGGTACCACATCTCCACACAACTGGAGCAGAGGGGGCGGGGCTTAGGAAACAGGATCGGACAAAGGATCGCATTGTTGTGTTTTATTATAAGAAATATAGTGCCCAGTACCAGCTGGACATCTGTAATCTCAGCACTCTGGGAGCCTGAGGTAGGAGCCCAACCTAGACAATTTAGTGAGACCTTCTTTCAAAAAAGAAAAACAAAGCTGGGACATAGCTCGGTGAGAATGCCTGGGTTCAACCTGCAGTGCTGCAAAAGGAAGAAAAAAGGGTAAGAGAGAGAGAAAGAAAGGAAAGTAGAAAAGAAGGAAGGAGAGGTAAAGAAAGCCCTGATGCCAATAACTAAGTGGAGAGAATGGAAGAGAGAAACCCTAAAGGTTAGAGAAGCTGTTATTGGCCGGGGTAGAGATGTTTCATTCATTTTACCATGAGGGAAAATCAGAGAAGATGCAGTGTGAGAACCTGAGGAGACTCCTGCTAAGTGGCGTGTGTGTCCTCCATGAAGTATTTCTTCAAGCTCATGATCTGAGGCAGGCCAGAGACACGAGAAGACAGAGGACAGAGCGGGTGGTAAAAAACAGGGCGCACCCAGGGAAGTGGTAGGGTCATCTCACACCTGGGTACTGAAATTTGTGGTCAGAAATTTAAAGCGAGCCTATTCCACAATCTCCAGCCTGAAGTCTTCATTCAGCCTTGGCTGGGGTTTTGCTAGAGAAGGGGAAAGGGGTACAGGTATTTTCCAGGAAGAGGTAGGCAGTGGAATGTAAGCCGAGGAAGGATAGAGACCATGTAGAGGGGAAGAGATGTTAAGTGATATAAGTGTTCATTTCTAAGTGTTCCTAAAAACAAAATGGGACGTGAAAGATGGCATTAGCTGTTTATATTTTATATGCACTTCATTGTTCCAGGTATCAGAATACAGAAATCCATGAATCTTAGCTTTAGGTGACTTTTTAATATGAGCTGGGGCATCTGGAGGGTGTGAGAGCCTAAATTAGCTAATAAGCAAACCAGTCTCTGTGTAGTGGATGCTGGCAGAAGACATCAGATTGTTGATTGAGAGACAAAGGACTGAATTACTCATGATGCACCTGGGACACAGTATAAACATGTTTACATCACTGGATTTTCCTCCCCAGACCCACAAGAGTGACAGGACAGGTGTGTGTGGTTGCTAGAGGCACAATGGGTTTGTGTCACAGCTGAGGGACTCAGGGCTTAGGGTTTTTTGAGCAAATAGCCAGTGGCAAAAGGCAGTCCCCAGCATCCTACCCTGAGTTAGCCATCACACTGATTTCCAAAGGTGGTTGTCTGGACCTGCTGCTCAGAATCAGGAGATGGGTAAGTTTTAGGAGCTGGCACCCTCAGGGAGAATGGGGAACGCACTCGGGCCCATGGTGAGCTTCCCGTCCCAGGACTTAAATGAGAAGGAAACCATGAATGAACTTACAGTTCTCATGGTGACAATTCATCCCAAACCACTAGACATTTCTTCACACGTATCTTTCAAAACTATCACCTACGACAGTTTCCATCTTTTAAAACATGCCACAGGAAATATGAACAAAACCATGTATGTCGGTGGCCCCCAGGCCTCATGTGTTTGCATTATGCATTTGTGATTGGTTCATTGACTAGAGCTTGGATTGGGGGTGTGAGTGCTATACCCACCTAGGGGTGGAGCCAGGATGAAATGTAATGGCAGGAAGAAGGTGCCTCTCTCTCTTGCAGGTTTCTGCCTTGTTATTTGCAGCCGCCATGAACTGTGGCCCTGCCATGCCAGCCTACCTTGGAGCCAACTGAGTATAGGCTGAAACCTCCAAGAAAAACTGTAAGAAATAAACCTTTCCTTTCCCAACTTTGGTCATCAGGTATTTTGTCTCAGCGAGGAGTAAAAAGTAACTAAGACACAGTGTGATGGTGTATATAAGCAGTCTGGCTTGTTTCATTTTTTTTTTAATCAAAATGTCTCTTTTCCTAAAGGTATTCAAGTATAATTTTCTGAACAATTTTTACATTTTTCCTCTACATTTTTTTAATTAAAAAAAGATAATAAAATATGTAGATATAGATAACAACTCGGCTGCATAATGCGCCCCTTTCTTAACTAAAAGCTCTCAGTACTGTTAGAAGCACTTGAAAACCATAGCTGTAAAAAATCAGGACATTTTGAGCATTCCTTAAAGAGGCTTCGACACTGCAGAGGAAGGCTCTGGTTTTCTGTTCTCTGTTTTCTGTGTTGTGCCTCTCCAGGGGCTGACAGTCATGAATCAAGTAACCTGCTTATCCTCGAGGAACTCACATTTGCCCAAGGCCTGGGCATCACCAAGAGAGAGAGACAGAGACAGAGACAGAGACAGAGACAGAGAATGTGTGTGTGTGTGTGTGTGTGTGTAGGTGTGTCTTTAACTCAGCTGTCTTAAATTACCTCTCACTCTGCTGCAGTCTCCCTGCTCCCTGCTTTTCCTGGAATGCTCCCCAAACACTGCCCTCAGGGGGTTTGTCTGACTCCTCTGTGGCTGGAAGGACCCTCAAGGAAGCCCTGATTCCTCTGTTGGAAACATCGACATCCACCTGCAGCCCTTGCCCAGCAGCTGTTTCTCCACCTGCTTCATATTTGTGTAGCAAGCTAATATTCTGTGCTACTTATTCTATTCACCATTGACCAGATGTTCCTGCTGCATGTAAACTCCAGCCCTGTTGAGTTTCAGGACTCAGTGTTGGTTAACTGTGTCCTGGTTTCAGACAATAGCTACTTTTGAAATGCCTTACATAGAAAATCATCCATTGCCATCTTATCCTCTCTCATGGCCTTTTAAAGTCTGTAAAGACAGTAATTCTGAAAATGAGCACTTTAATATAGCCCACTGCAAGATCCAAGAACCAGGTGGATAAGCCCTGTGTCTTTCTGTAGAAGCATAAAGTGACATGTCTTAGGAAGGTTGGACGGGTTGTTTGATGTGAGGACAGGTGACAATGGAAAATGTCAGGAACTGCCTGAGTCACAGTATTGGCTCCACTGGCTGGACCAACAGGGTCCAGTGAATCCCCACCACACAGAGATTCTGCACCTCTACTGCCTAGGGTGGCCACGGCCATCACTAATCACGTGCAATCGATGCTATGTGACATAGGGCTAGTGTGGCTTAGAAACTGATTTTTAAATTTTGTTTATTATTAATTAGGAGCACATGTGGCTAATGGCTATTGTACTGGGGAAAAGCAGGAAGGTACATGCTATGGTTTAACCAGGATGTCCCCCTAATGCTTCATGAGCTCAAAGTTGGGCCTTTTGAAAAGCACTGGATTAGGGAGACTTGCAGATGACTTGTGGTTAGGACGCAGGGTGGCTCCACCCAGTGGAGGGTGGCTGGGTCATGACCTGGATGGGTTCACCTCCCTCCTGGCTCCTCCTTCGACTGGCCCTGCTTCCTGCCCACCATGCCCTAGCATTCTCCTCTGCCAGGCCCCTTGGCCAGGCCTCCTGCCTTGGAGCCAGATGACCATGGACTGAGCCCTCCAGAAACTGTGACCCAAAATAAACCTCTCCTTTTCAAGTCATGGGTGTTGGTATTGTGTCCTGGCAAAGTGAAAGCGACTAAGATTCTGCCTACGTTACATGAGCCTTCCTTGGCTGTGACTTTGCTTTCTGTGGTTTCACTTAATCTCAGTTAACCACTGTCTGAAAATATTACATGTGAAATTCCAGAAATAAACTGTTTATAAGTTCTGAATCATGTGACATCCTGAGTAGCATGAGGAGATTCTGCACAGTACTGCTCTAGTCGGGACATAGGCCGTCCCTTCGCCCACAGAACCCTGTGGTATGCGCTACTCTCCGTGAATCCCTTCTCAGCTGAACTGGCCCTCAGATGCTGCACCATTCGAGGGAGTGTCGCTCATCTCCTCCATCTCATCCTGTAAGTGCCCCGTCCTCTCTCATCACCACAAGGGAAAAGGAGCGCACAGCGCGGTAAAGTGTGAGGGACAGACCACACTGCTGGGCTTTATTACAGAGGCCACCTCTGCTGGATTCTATCATTCATTATGCTGTGACTACCAGACTGTGTCCAGCTTGTCACTGTGCGTTGCCGTAGGTATGCTGCGTGCGAGGACCTCATGCTACTGCAGGCTGAGTGACCTCCCTCTGAAGTCACCCACTCCAGCCTCAGGAGCTCTGGTCTTGTTCAGATGAAAAGGTTCAGAGCTCATAAACTCAAAGACCATAGCTAGGCAGACAGCATCTAGATGTGACTTAGTTATAGGAAAAGTCTAAATGTTTTGCACTTTAAAAAATTATTCTCAGAAACCTTGTTTTGCATCTGGAATGTAATGAATACTCGTTATAATTTATGTGTCTACTTTTATTGTATATAAATATTGATTCATACAATGGCAGTCCAGCCCAAAGTTCATATGCACGAAAACCTCTTGACATAGGCAGATGAAAGTAACCATGACCAGGCCAGGCTGTGTGGGCGGGTGGGAGGGGAGGAGGCAGATGTGGGGAGCACAGGGACGGGCAGATTCAGGAAATGAGGGCTGAAGGTGTGGCACAAGGCCCTGGGTTTGATCCCCAACATGGCAAGCAAAGAGGGGAGAAAAGAGTTGGCACGCTAACAGATGGCGTATCTAACTTGGTCACTCTGGCTCCTCCAGTGACCACCTTGCTTCCCGCCCACCATTCCCTGAGCCGCTCTCCGCTGCCAGGCCTCTGGGCCACACCTCCTGCCTTGGGAGACCGTGTAAACTCTAGTGGCGAGCTCCTTCAACTTCTGAAAGCTGTCCTTTTGATGGGGCTACCGTGACATATTCAGAAAGACAAATGGCAGCGTGGAAGTCCAGGGGATCATGTGCTGATGTATGGGTTGGGGGTACAGAGCCCACTAACACTCTCTTCCTCTGCAGTATCCCATTTTGCAGGTACTTTGTATGCGTATATATAGCCCTAGATACTAAATTGGCTGCCCACCTGGAATATATGCAGAATGACACTAGTAAAGTAGCTCCCATTACTAAAATTGATTGGGTTCTATTATATTTTAATGCCTTCCTAATTTGAAGCCCTAAAACATGTAATACATCTCGTCAGATGCCCTGCCACACAGATACCTGCTGTACAGGGAACCGTGTCATGCATTAATCAGTGTATAGCAAACCATCATTTTACACTTTGGAAAATTTCAGCCAGAGCACACGTTGCCCCGCTGGAACCCAAACATGTTTATGATGATTTTAACTAAACTCATACCACTTTACAGAACACGCAGTTTTGCAGCCAGGCAATTTTCCAATTTTCGTGCTCTGGAAGAGGCAGAGCCCCGGCTGCTCTAAGATGGAGTTTTAAAGCCGTTTTAATGCTAAGCTAAATCTCTGCGATTGGATTGAGATGCAGCTTGGTTTGCAATCTCTTCTTAACTATTTTTCTTAGGCTGAAAGTCAATCATTCTGTGACTCTAACACCGGGCAAGAGTACTTGGAATTAAAGTGGGAAATTAAGTTCCAGGAAATTGAAAATTGACCTTTAACACACGGCACCATCAGCAGCATTCTCTATGAAGCGTATGCAGGAGGAGGCTGCTTCTTCGATGGATTTGGACCAGCCCCCGAGATCTCCAGCAAAGTAAGGCAGGACGCCAGCCGACATCTGGTTAAGGTACGACACCTGTTTCAAAGTCAAAGCAGCATTTTAGCTTCAGATTGGCTTGGAGCTTTTCTGAGCAAGTATCTCAGTTTTGTTGGTGTCAGGGAGTCTGCAGCCCCAAACTACTGGGGACTTTCTGGAGTGAATCTTGGAAGGTGACCTTAGGAAACCAAAGGTGACCAACCTTAGGTGACCAAAGGGTTGTGTGGATGCAAAATATTGCACAGTAGTTAATTCAGAAATCCAGGGGAAGGAAAAGCCACCCCCATATCTGCCTGGGAAAACTGAATGGCACATGTTTCATCAAACTCACAGTGCAGGAACTGTGGTCGGTGGGCTGGATGAGAAACCCAGCGAGCGCCACCTCACTTCTGGTGTATCCCGGAGATGGTGGCACGGCGGGCAGAACCACTGACTTCACTGCCACCAGGTACGTGTCCCTGAGAGACGAGAACATGCATCCAGGCTCTTGTGGCAAAGGGACAGTGGGTGTCCGGAAGCACGAGCCTGTGGTCCTGCAGTGCAGGGTTTGCGTGTCTAGTGCTGGGGATCCCAGGGCCTGTAGCATGCCAGAACAAGAGCTACACCCCGCCCCTCAAAGCCAGTCATGTATTTATCTGGGTCGAGGAGAGGCTCTGAAGAACTAGATCTTGCAGATGAGGGGTCTGTGGCCAGAAGTTCTATGGCCAAAGTCAGAGCTGGAACAGGAGCCCGAACTCGAGGTTCCCAGTGACCTGCAACCTGAGCTGTAATTTCGTGTCCTCTCTTTTTTAAATTACAGAAACAACGGCTACTGTTTTAAGGAACCACCAAATGATACAGAACTCCATAAGCTGCAGTCTGAAAGAGCCGCCCTGTTCCCTCTCCCGGCGGCTGGGCAGTTCCATGGACTTTGAAACAAATGTGTGATAATAACATCTGTGTAAGCAAATGCACGGTGCAAAATTTTACAAACTATACTCATCTCACTAATATGACCCACAATTTAATCTTTCAGTGACCAGGAGGGAGGCGAGAAGCCTTTACAGCAGAGCTGCTACAGTGACTTTTTCCTATCCTCGTGACACTGCTCTGCAGTACGGATTTGCTGGAAGCTGCAAGATGCACCTCAGGGTTACGCTCAGCCTGTGTCACAGGCCTTCCAACACAACAGAGGACGCTACCTGACGTCCACTCATAGGGTTGTTTGGGACATGCTCCCTTAGACAGCTCACCCCGAGTGCAGTATAGAGAGAACCGCCAACAGGGGACCTCTGGCTCACAGCCCTGGGGGACTTGCGGGCAGTCCATCCTAGCAGGGTCCTGGCAGGGGTCTAGAACTGCGGAGCCTTTGGGAAGCCAGCTTCCAGGGTTCATTAGTCTTTCATTACTTTGTTTCTTTTTTACTCTTCTGTTTCAAGGTTATTAAATATAGGCTTCCATCCAGACAAAACAGAAGAAGGAACTGCTTTCGAATCCTTGGGTGGTGCTTGGTTCTCATCCGCACTTGGTACGTGATGTTCCTTCAGTGATGGCTGAAGATCCCTCTAGAATATCATTCCAAGCCAGAGCAGCCTAGCTGACTTCCCTCCTTTCCCATCCAGTTTCCATTTCTACGCTGTCCCCGCCCTCGAGCTGCAGCACGCACCTCTCCTGGGCAGGCCTCCTCCGAGACACGAGCACCACGAAGTCCTTGGGTTTGTCGCCATTCACCTGACAACAGGTGACGTGGTAGATCTGGTCGTCCTCACTCACCTGGTCCACGGAGGTGCAGGACCTGTGTGGGGAGGGGAGCTGAGGTCAGGGCTCAGCCTTCAAGGCTGTGTTTCCTTCTTTGCTAGGTGACCTTGCCTTGGGGTCTGTGCTGGTCCCCCAGAGCCTGTCAGAGGAATCTGGCTGCCTGTGATGGAGGCTGCCAGAATCCACTCCAAGGTCACACCCTCAGGGCTGCAGAGGGAGGCATTAAAGGCCATCTCCACAAGACTGTCCTCCTCTACCCTGCAGTAAGGCGCCCTGACGCTTTCTGAAATACACACTTGCTCCAAGGACCACAGGTAAAGACCTGCTCTGGGAAGAGCAGGCTGTGGGGTGGGCTGGCTTTCACTTTCAGACCTGAACACCTCAGCAAGGCGCAGCACTGTACTATGCACCGAGAAGTGGGAGAGAGCCTGGGAGAGGCACGGCAGCTCGGGAAAATGCCTGGCCCAGGACTCAGCACACAAGCAAAGCGAGCTGAGTTAAAATTCATCCCTCTATCCACTCAAGCTCAATTTGGATGGGATGTTGAGGGACATAGAGTGTGCAGAGAAAATATTTAGAAGCGCTTAACATCTAGCTTAGGCATTGTTTTTCTTGAGAGCTTTGTACTTGTGGGCAAGCAATGATATGGATGTGAAAATCTGTAAAGCCCTCCTCTTCCCTCAAAATCTTTCATCACGGTGGCCTGCGCCATGGCGTGTTATTCAGGCATCTGTGCAAACGCAACGCCTCGCCTTGGCAACTGCCCCCTTAGTGGTATTAGACTGTCTATTACACGGTGTTAGTTGCAGCAAGTTTTGGACCTTTTAAAGATGCTCCTCTACCTTGTCTGCATTTGGGAACAGTGACACAAAAGAGGGATCTCTCTTTCATGAAGTAGTCCAGGGGGCCCGGCGGGGTTCCCCAGAGGAAGAGGGCCAGCCAGAGGGCTGCCATCACTGCCCAGGTGATGGGCAGTCACTCCTCAGCACCTGGGGATCAGAAACAGGGTCCCCCTAGATACCAGAGTCAGGAGGTGCTCACATCCCTCATAGGAAGTGCCTCTGCGTTTCCAGACACACCCTCCTGCGTCCTTTAAACCAAGTCTGCATTACTTATGCAGGGAGACACTGTCTAGATAGTTGTTTGGCTCCACTGCTTAGGGAATAAAGCCCATGAATGAAAGTGTGTGGTCAGTGTGGACACAAGGCTCCCAGTATGTTTGACCCAAGGTTGGCTGGATCCGCAGATGCAGAGCCCTCTGTGGGTGCAGAGGGCAGAGGTGTCCTAGGAAAGTGAGGGGACCGGAGGAGTCTGGTTTGGGTGAAGAGATGGGAGGAGCAGAGGCTGCTGGGAGGAAGGAGAGAGCTCCATGGGACCTGACTCCCTCCCCCAGCTGCCCTCGGGGAGTGAGGCTTTGTGGGTAAAGAAGGAGCTTCTCACCAAGGGTTGGAGGGGCAACACAGGAGGATCACTTCTTCCAGAGCATGGACCTCACAGCCTGGCAGAGCTGGAGTCCATTCTGGGTCCTGCCTCTTGGTGGCCAGCATAAGCTTGGCCAGTGTCAGAAGCTGGAGTGATGTCACCTTGAGCTGAGGGGAAGACCTTGAGCACAGGTGAGGGTAAGGAGGTCAGCTTGAAGCAGAATGAGTGTAATGGTTCCATCTGGTGTCTGCATCGCCCCAGGCAGGGTGCTGTGCAGAGCAAGCTCTGGAAGCCACTCGATTACCGAACAGCAGCTCACACTTTGTCGGGGGCAGCAGCTGTGGCTGTCTGGGGGGTGCTCCATGTGACCTTGAGAGGCTGGTGACAGAAAGGGCGTGTGGCTTGTGCTTACGTGTAGTGGGGGTCCCACAGCGGGCGATTTGTGAAGTCAGACAAGAGACAGTAAGCCAGGTGTGCTGGGCACCTCACACGCTTTTCAACCCACACCGATAAGAATTCTCGCTCTTCCAGAGTGTATATTTTTATCTAAAAATATTAACGAGAACAATTGAATTATAAGACAAAATATGATAATCTTACTTTAAAAGCCACATACGTATATATGCAATCAGAGACTGACTTTTTTTGCTTTTTTTTTGAGACAGGGTTTCACTGTGTAGCCCAGGCTGAACTCGGAGTGATCGACCTGCCTCAGCCTTCCAAGTGCGGAGATTACTGGCATAGGCCATCATGCCTGGCTAGACTGAGGAACGGAGCTCAGGCATCTCATCACCTGAATAAAAGCAAAGCCAACAATGGCAATTTCACATCTGACGTGTGGATGTCTGGATATCTGGGCCAGAGTGAGTCCCCTGTCCTGTTCACAGCATGTCACGTGACTGTAGTGCAGGCGGATTTCTCATGAGACATAAAGCACGTCAGGCTCGCTCTCTTCACCTCTTTGTGCAAGGCTGATGCTGTGGGTTAGGATGTGTCCCCAAGACACCAGGTGCAGCTCAGGGGGGCCACCTCCAGAGCCACCCAACTGTCACTGCTGCCTGTGTGCCACACAAAGCCTTCTTTGATTTTTCCATCCCATGCTCGCCCTTCTGAAAGACCAATGTCTGCTTTCTCAGGTCGGCGGAGCCCTGCTGGGCACTGTTTGCCACGCATGGACCCTAAGGTTCCCCTGGTGCCCTCAGCTCGCCTACTGTGTCTGGACAGCAGTCATGGACGTGCGATCAGGTAAGAGCACATTTTCTTTCTGCCCATTTTCCTGTCTCCTCCAGGGCACTCTGAAGCCAGTGCTGGAATTTGCAACATCTTACAATCATCCCCATGGCAACAGGATGAGAGAGGACAGCTGAGCATGAGGTCAGGACTTCGCTGCAGGAATCAAGCAGATGGAAAGAAAAACCAGGCTGTGAAGGAGAAACCCTTATTTAAACGTGTGTGTGTGTGTGTGTGTGTGTGTGTGTGTGTGTGTGTGTGTAATCAGAGGATGAAGAGATGAGAAATTAAGAGCTGTTCAGGAAGCAATCAAGTGATCATTTGCTCATGGAAAATCCTCTCTCCTCAAGGCCAAACCATCTTTAAATCCTCTTTGCAAAGAAGGGCGTGGTCCATGCTGAGAGCCCGCACCAAGCATCGCTCCAACCACTGCTGCTTGGTGAGATGCACCATCCTCAGCTGCTCCCCTCCATGTCCCCAGCACAGGGGACACCCAGGGAGAAGCCACCTTCCAGGAGCGTGGTGGTGGTGGCTTGGTGGTGTCGGAGTTGGTGGTTGATCGACTGACAGCCTGGTCACTCTCTGGCCTTAGTACAAGGAGGGTAGGGTGGGGAGAGGAGTGGGCAGAGCACTTGGGAGGAGTTGCATTGTACCCCCACCCTGTCCCCGGTTCTGGGTGCTGAGACTCTCACCTCCTGTACCGCAGAACAGGACCCTACATGAGGCAGGGGCATTACAGATGGGGTTGTTTAAGATGAGGTCATCCTGCCACAGCAAGGCAAGTCCCCAATCCAAGGTGATGGCATCCTTCTAGTGGGGAAAGGAGACCTAGAAGGGACAGGTGCCCAGCGTCCTTGCCCTGAGCCACCTGAGCCAGTGACACAGAGAAAAAGTGGACAGGGGACAGTGGTTCATTAGGGTTCTCTTAACAGCAACTTTTACTTAGTAAAAAATTCTCCAAGCAGAACCCTCTGGGACGGTGAGTTCCCTCTGATGCTGGGGAGGATGAAGGTTCATTTCCACCTGCCGCTGACCCAAATGCTTTCCTCACAACTCAGTGATTAGAAAACCTGTTCAGTGAAATGAAACTCAAGGTGAGTGGGCTCAAATTTGCTGAAATGCCCTCACTAGTATATAGTAGTGGAATTGTTTTTCATTCTGATGAGATTCTGTTTGGATTTGGGTTGGGGATTTTTGGTTAAACTCAAAGTTTTAGAAATTTCTGTACAACTTATGGGAATGTGTTTACACTGGGGAATAGAATAAAACCAGTTTTTACAGAATTTCAAGGAAATCTTGATTTGCCTTGCAGGCACTGGAGAATTAGGACAAGGTAGAAGGGGTGGGGGCTGGGCAGGTGGACCCAGCCCCTTGCAGCTTCAGGGAGGAGAGGACCCTCTGGTCTGCTTCCTGCACTGGTGTCCTGTCCCAGCCAGAGGTCTTCTGGTGGTCTGCGTTGTCTACTGTGAGACTCTGATTTTCACATTCTCAGCTTCTCCTTAAAGAATCAGCTACTCCTACCAGGTCAGTCCCTTGCTTACAATTTCCACCGGGAAGACTCAGCAGAGCTACCCCACTGTCCAGAAGTCCTCCGCCCTCCAGCATTGGACTCCGAGCATCACCTCTGAAGAGCTAGGAACTCGGTCCTGGAGCTCTTTCCACGTAGACTGTTCCCAGGCTGCAGACTGCCTGTGAGCTGACCTTATGTGTCAGCACCACGGCACCTGCCTATTTATAACCTGTGCTGCCAGTGTCGGCTCCACAGGTTCCTGTGTGTGTGATACAGCTCCCGAGTCATCAGCACTGACTCCAGCACTTTAGATAGGAGATAAAGATGAGTGAGAGTTGTGAGGATGGTCCAATCCACGCAAATGGCAGGCTGTGAGTGAAAACAAATCCAATGGAACCTCGGCTCATGAACGGAATTCGTTCCACAACTCTGGGGAAGGAAGCCATGGTCAAGTTTGTCTCCTGATGTGGAGATCACAGAAGGAAGCAAAATTTTGCCCAATGTTTCTGTCCGTGAGCTGGACTTCCCAAACAGATGCATTCATGAACCGAAACATCACTGTGTCCGTGTGAAAATCTGAACCGAGGTGGCATGAAAGAAAAGCTGCGTAGACAGAAGATGAGAAATCTCATGATTTTAAAATCGCAATTTTGCTAACAGAAGTAGCCTCAGAACACGAAAGTTATTTGGGCCATTTTCGTATCCAGGAAACTCACTCGGAAACGTTCCCAGGGTCTTGAGCCCCAAGAAGGCTGGGTCCACTGCTCTCCTTGCGTCACCCAGAGAGCTCTCTACGAAGTGGGCAGTAGAGCCCAGCTCCTGGGGAGCTCAGGGTCTGCGCGGTGACACAGCCCCAGATGGTGCAGACAGACAGCAGGACGTGTCCGGCTCCGGACCACTGGCCTGGCTGTGATGCCCACAGTGCACTCTCTGAGGTATACTTTCATTCTCCTTCTGCCTCTTTCTGACACAACTTGAAAATTGTTTTCCTGTGACAGAAGGCAGAGAACCTGAAACTTCTGCTGTGGGTTCTGAGGTGAGCTTCCTGTCTCCACTTTGGGAAACCACCTCACACTCACCCAGTCACAAAGTGTGTTTCCTGACAGACCACTGTGTTTCAGCTGAATTATTCAACTAAAATGTGACAAGAAAATACAAGATCTGTGTTTTACAATTAAATAGCCAGGTGTGGTGGTGCACACCTGTCATTCCAGCACTTGGGAGGCTGAGGCAGGAAGATGCTGAGTTTCAGGCCAACCTATGCTATGCAGTGAGTTCTAGGCCAGCCTGAGTTACATATCAAGACTCTGTCTCAAAAATAAATTAAAAAAATAAATAAAACCTGATAAAAATTGTAAAACTTGGGGGAGAAGATGGTAACTCAAAAAAAAGTTTATCAAACTTGATATCAGACTTTTGTCATAAGTAAAATTTTCTAAGGGAGGGATTCAAATTTCATACAGGAAACACAGAAACGTTTCTTTAATAACACAGTATCTTCTACTAAATGTTTATTGAAGAATGAAGACATCATTACTGGAAGATCTCCCAGGACACTAGACAGCCTGTTCCTTTGGGTCTGTTTCCAGCCCCAGCTCCCCAGAGCCTGGGGTCTCCTCCCAATCAGCGCTGCCCTGCCCACGTGCTCTGCTTCCTCCCCAGTTCAGCCCACTGTGACTGCCTGCGGCTCAGGACTGAGATGATGACAGCCACACAGGCACAGACTCGCACCAGTAAAAGGCAGCACTCTGAAGTCCCTCATGGGGGTAAAGAGAAAGCGGCACGGGTTTGGCTGAGCAGTTTGTGCACCGTGACAGCAGGCGGAGCTGGAGACCCAGTGGGAACTGACCTGGGCCTGGGAGGTGGGCAGCAGAGTGAATGGGTGGCTCCCAACTGGACATGGGTTTCAGCCTGTGATGACACTGGGCTGCATCAGCCAAATGGGGACACTGAGGCACAGGACAGCAGGTGCAGAACAAGGCCGTCCCAGGCGACCAGGACTCGAGGCTGTCCTGGGTGCGCAATGAGGATCAGCATGTGCTGAGGTGGCCAAGCACCACTAGCCTGCACCACTAGCCCCCAGCTCTGCCCACTGTTAGGTCGGACACCAGGTGGGGGTCATGGGACCTCGGAGCCTCACAGACCACGTCCCAGGGTCTCCTAGCCATGCAGAGCGCAGTGTCAGGTGACTGCTGACAACAAGAGAGCATCTAGCTAAGCCGTTTATGATCCGGTTAGGAAAGACTACAAGAAAGCCACACTGTTGTGTGGGGTGCATGCAGAATGCCTCGCTGGATTGATTTCCAGAAGAGGTGACAGGTGGGGATGAGGAGACCAAGGGATGTGAGCACCAATGCCCAGGGGCAGGGAAGTGTGGGCAGAGGTGCAGACTCCACACGGACCAGCCTAGGGCAGGCGGGATGATGCTGTCTCTTGGTTTCCATGGAGACGTGGTACCTGGCCAGCACGAGGCAGTGGGAGGAGCAGCAGACCCAGCCACCCGGCTCCCTACCTTTCCCAAGGCGCTGGTCACCTCCCAGCCGGTTTTGGCGGCCAGCTGTCTGAGAGCCTCCACATTGTCATCAATCAGGGATGCCTGGAACACAGGGGTGGGAAAGCTGGTATCAGGTCGCAGATGCGGACAGAATTCGAGTTGGAATCTGTTGACAGAAGTTGAGTCTTTTGTACTTAGAACTGAGCTTCAGCAAACATATAATCTATATCTGAAATTCTGAATTCAGAAGCCTGACACAGTAGCTGCAGGCTGAGTACACTGGTGGTGTTTTAGCTGATGTTGTGGGAAAGTTAGATTCTCAATAAGTCATTGATGAAGACTTATTTAAAAAATTGAGGGCTTTTTGAGATGGGACTTGCTATGTAGTTCAGGCTGACCTTGACCTTGTGGTGATCCTCCTGCCTCAGCCTCCCAGTCCTGAGATTACAGGCATGTGCCACCATGCCCAGTGATGACTGATAGTCCATGTGTAATAAGTAAACTTGGATTTTCCTTTGCATTGTGTTGCAAGCAGTTCCAGTGACCATTACTTTATGGTTTTATAAAAGTGCCGGCTGTAGGCATAACATTCAGCAGAGGTCATGGTGCGACACAGGTCTGTGGGCAGTAAGATGGTGGCAGGGGACCCGAGGATGCAGGTGCACAGGGGCTGGTGAGTCCAGGAGAGCCCTGCCTTCCCTGCACATCTCTCCCCGCAGAGCTGCAAATTGTGCCCCTCACCTGCTGGCTCTCGTCCCAGGGTGTGGAGGTGGGGACCTCTTGTCGGTGAGAAATAACGTATCTCCTGGAAAACACGGACGGGGTCAACACCAGGCTGCTTCCCTTATCACCCATGCCAGCCACCAGGTTCCTCCAAGAGTGCAGTGGGCACAGTTGGGGCGCTTTGCTGGGGGTGCAGCAGGAAGTGCCTGGCTTTCCTGTCCTACAAACTCAGCCCCCAGGGGCCTCCAGGTTCTCACCATGTCCCTCACCTGCCCAGGCGGATTCTCTTGCGTGCCATGGCTCCCCAGTAGCGTCTGAAATCATCCTTTAAGAAAAAGAGTAAAATAGACCAAACACAGTGTTAGCGCTGCCTGGGCCCTGGGCACCCCAAAACTGCTGTGGTGTAGCCACAGAGGCCACAGGCGGGGACGGCAGGAGGGTAGCTGGAAGCTCCGCAGTCATGAGGTCTCTTGCCTGGAGGACACAGCTTACTGGGCTCTGGAGAACAGGGAGCTGGCGCAAGGGAAGCACTGGGGAGGAGAGGCCCTGACCTCGGACAGCCGCATGTGGGGGCCTGAAGAAGGGGACACAGAAGTCACAGCTGCCTACAGCAGTAGCAACTGCCTGTGGGTGAGAGTGCCAGGACTCCATCATGTCACAGGTCACCAGCGTGATGTGGAAGAAGGGGAGGGAAGAGAACAAAAGGGAATAAAAGCAAAGGGCAGGGGAGGGGAAGACAGGATGGGAGAGAACAGAACAGGCAAGGGTCATGTTACTTTGTTAGGCAGAGGAGGAGCAGCCACAGAGGACAGGTGAGGTGAGGCAGTGGCCGTAGGAGCCGTGAGGTGCAGCTCTGTGCCCCCTATTCCTGCCCCTGCTGTGACAACAACCAACCTTGGAAATGGGCTTGACCCTGGGGAAGGTGACCGGCTCCTCCTGGTCATCCACGGCGTTGTAGATGAGGAAGGCGCTGTTGATGTGCCGGCCCTGGCCCGCAGCCCACTCCTGACAGGTGAAGGCCTCCACGCGCACTCCGACCTCCACACTGCGAGGGACACAGGGTAGTGGGCACAGAGTGGTGGTGGTCCCTGCCCAGTGCCCTCCATGCAGGGTGTGTGACAACCCGGCTGTTCTCAGCAGCAAGGAATCTGCACAGCGTGCCAAGCCCATGCTCAGGGGGCCATGGGGCTGCTGTGAGCCCTGTGAGCTCTGTGTGTGCACACACGTGTGCACGTGTCCATGTAGCCACAGCGTGGCCTGGTGTTGAGATAGAATCTTTTGACAGGGAAAGGCTTTGGTCTTTAGTGGCACGGCTGTGGCTGCCTCCTTGTCCTGAATTGGTGTGAAACACTGACCTCTCCGGCCCCTTTAAGTGGGGAAGAGCCAGAAGTCACTCAGGGCCAGGGTCAGAGGATCAGGGGACGAGGACCCAGCGTCAGGTTTTACAAGCTGCCTTTCAGCTGGGTGGATGGGGGAGGCGCTCAGAGTGAGGGGAGGGTAGGACGGCGGGCACCCAGGCCAGGCGTGTTTCTCCGGACCCTCAATGGAGGGCCTGGCCACAGCCTGTGGTATGGTCGTGGGGCAGGAGAAAATAACACTTCTATAATTTAAAAGTATCAAACACCAAATTAAAATGGGAAGCACAGATATTCATTTTGTTTCTACATTTGAAAAGAAAAAGTACTAACTGAAACCTTTCATCATGTATCAAGAATAATGAGGGGCTGAGGATTTAGCTCCGTGGCACAAGTGCCTGCCTGGCAAGTGTGGGGTCACCAGTTTGACCCCCAGTACCTCCAAAACAGAAGAATGAAGTGACCAGAAAGCAGCTTGGACTTGAGGTACAAATAACAGGTCCAATACAAGTCGGCCGATTGTGAGGCCTCGGGGACTGTTCAGAGAATTGATAATCAGGCCGAATGACAGGCACAAACCAGAACTGTCCTGGGCCAGCTGGCACGGGCCATTGCCTTTATGAGACAGAGCCCAATTCCCTCGGTGTGAAGAGGGCCCCAAGCAGAGCTGGGGTTCAAATGCATGGCCAAAGATTCTCAAGCGTGAGCAAAGCTTAAAATACCCAGAAGGAGCATGTAGAGAGGAGGGAGCTATAGAGAGGACACACACAAGTCATCCGCAGGAGCGCGGGTGCACCTAAGACAGTACTGTCCAGGGAAGTAAACTCGACCCAGGAGCTTAACTACTACAGGGTTTCTCTCCTGTGAGAAACTCAAGTATAAAAAAAGAGCAATGTGAAAGACGAGAGCAGGACTCAGGGAGACAGACCCTCTGCAGAAGGAAAGTGGTGGAAGAGGAGGAAGGGAACAGCAGGGAAGGCAAAGGGAAAGGAAGGTGAGGACAGGGGAGGATGGGAAAGGGGAGGGAGGGGAGGCGGAGAAAGGAATGGAGACAGCTGCTGTGTCCTTGCACTGACCCTGCCCGATGGAGGTGACAATCACGCACTGCAAGCACAGACCAATACAAATAATCAATTAAAAAACGAAGATCCTCTTTAGTGCACCCCTGAACTAAACACCCGAAGCTGCAGCCAAGGAGCGCCCGCACCTTACCAGGTCTGAAACGTGTTGTTGACGATGGCCCTGAAGACCAGCCGGTCCCCGACAGTGGAGGCGCCCCGGAACTTGAACATGTCCACGGACTTGAGGAAGGGGTGTCCTCGACACAGGCGGCTGGGAGAAGAGGAGGAAGAGGGGAGCGGTCCTTCTCCTCCGCGTGTTCCCTCACTGAGCAGCAAGCAGAAGCCACCCCAGCAACCTGGCTTCCTCTTCTTGTTTGCCTTTGCAACAGGGTCTTTCTTGCCCAAGAGCCCAGGGCCCCCTGAACTCACTGTAGCTCAGGCTGGCGGGATCCTCCTGGCTCAGCCTCCCGAGTGCTGGGATTCTAGGTGTGCACCACCACGCCCAGCGCCGCTGGGCTGCACTGTCTGAGTCTGGCTGCGGGTGAGGAGAAACACCCCTTCCCTGCGGCAGGGACTTTGCCAGGAGGCCGGTGCCTTCCTGCTGGCCTTGGTTCTGGTGTGAGGGTTCTGTGCGTCTGACAGCAGGTGCCAGGAGGTTGTGATTGAAGGTTGGAGGAGGGTCGGGGTGGCAGCTGCCACAGGGGCCACTCACTCTTCCCCAGTACCCGGGGAGTCACGCCCACGTCAAAAGGGCAAATGTTCCTCCCCACGTGAAAAGCACCTGGGGCAGTGCAGTGGGTAGTGGCTGATCATTTCCTCAGTGGTTAGTGGCAGCACTTTGCTGTTTTCCCTGGTCCTCGGGAGGCCAATACCTGCATCTCAGACCCTTCCCAACTCCTCCACCCTGCCATCCCCAGGTCCCTGGCCAAAGCCACCAACCTTGCAGCTATGGTGGCTGCTGTCTCCATCCACGCCATGATCTGGCCCCCGAACGTGTTCCCATGGTGATTGGCGTGGGGCGGGAGCACCAGCTCGATGCTCTGCACGGCAGTGGCGCTGGTCACCGTCCCTTCCTCCTTGTTGCACAGGGGATCTGGGGGGACAATGTCAATGTTGGAGCGCAGGCTGTGTGACCCGCCTCTGTCCTCTGTCCCAGCAGCAGACCAAGGAGGTGAGCTGGCTCCCCAAGGTCATGGTGGGGGGGGGAGGGTAACAGATACGGACAGAAAGCCCTCCCTGCAGAGCTCACGTCCACTGGCATTCAGGTTGGAGGTGCTTCCACCCAGACTCAGGGGTCTTTGGTCAGCAGTCCATTGAGACCACGTTCCGTGGTGGGAGTCAGTGTGCGTGCGTGGCACATCTTCATCCTTTCTCTGTCCCTCCCAGTCCTGGTCCCTTCCCCTCTGCAAAAGATCGATTTGTCTGTTTTCTACGGGCTATGTTGTTTTTAGCTCTCTAATTTTGTTTATATTTTGCATTTCTCATATGAGAGCAACCACACAGTATTTAAGCTTGTGTGTCTGACGCATTTCACTTAACATGACAGTCTCAAGATGCTTCCATTTTCCTACAAATGCCCCACATTAGCCTTTGTACAGCAGAGCGGTGCTGACTGTGTAATCACCACGCTCTCTTGCCCCACTCATCCACTGAGGAACAGAGAGGCCACAATCAAGGCTCAGCCACGGTGAGTTTGCTGCGGTGAACACGGGTGTGAGTGGCTCACAGCGACATGATCACATCTGTTACTCTTTCAGGAAGACACCTAGGAACGAATGGCTGGGCAGGGCGGAGCTTCTGGTTTTAGTGTTTATGGGACCCCACAGTGGGTTCCAGGGTGGCTGTGCTGTTTGGGTGGGGAAGGGTGGGGATGCTGGGGGGTTGAGATGACATGTGCTCACTTCTCGAGCTGCGTGCTGTCCCCATGGGCCACATGTTGTCACCAGTGAGACTTCAGATAAAGGAACAGGGCCAGCAATACTGAGCACAGTTAGGGCAGCAAAGACACAGTGGCTCTTCTGCCCCAAGTCACGCATCTTCTAGGTCAGGTCTGCTGCATTTCCTGACAGCCCCACACTCCGGCTACGGGGCAGGGACTGTGCTTTCTGGCCACCCCGGGAGTCCCTGATGCGGGGATCCAGAGATTGGGGACCTTCTGGGCCTCAAGCCACAGGTGGAATGGAGTGGATGGCATGAGTGGCTCCCCAGAGTGCTGGGAAGAGGGGCGGTGGCCTTGGGGTCCCATCCTGGCAGCCGAGAAGTGCAGCCCCCGGAGGTTTTCCATAATTCTTTCCCCTTTGCATTTCACAGGTCACTAATGAGTCCCAGCGTCTATTCACATGGACGTTAAACGCTCTTGTGGTCCCTCTGTGAACCGCTTCTGTGTTACTTGCTTCAAGCGTCACTCTTCCCGCTTCAGTGAGCTGTGTTCTCACGTCCTGCCCTGTCTCCTGGCCGCTCTGTCCTGTTTCCCACTTCTCTGTACCTGCTGGGCCACACTGGAGGTGAATCCTGCAGCTATGTCTCCCGAGCCAGGCTTGATGTCCCACGTCTATAACCCCAGCATTCTGTGTGGCTGAGCCAGGAGGTTACAATTTTGAGCCCAGCCTGGGTAAGTTAGCAGACCTTGTCTCAAATAAATACAAAAATAAAAAAGGGCTGGGGGTATAGTTCAGTGCAAAGGCCCTGGGCTTAAATAAAAATAAAAATAAACATAAACAAATAAATGTTAAAATATCCAGTTTGCCATGATATTTAATGATTTTCTCATTCATTGAACTTAGGAGTCTGTTGCGTTGTTATAATCAAAACTGGATGACCTCCTAAAGATACTTCAGGACCCCTTTCCTCCCCTCTCCTTCTTCAGCGTCCCCCTCTTTCCTTTCCCTTCTCTGTCTGGTTCTAAGGAACCTGGGACATGCTGAGCTACACCCCCAGCACTTGATTGATTTTCCTCGTGAGACAGAGTTTCTGTCGCCTGCCCACGCTGCCATCAAGCCAGGATTACCTTTCTTTTACAAAACTGGTTTTATTAGGTGACATCCTAAGTAGCTCAGGTTGAGTTTTTCAGCCTGATACTGCCTACCCAAATGCTACAATTTTTTTGCTCAAAATAAATCATTACAAGCTTTCTCTAAAATATACTGTTAAATGAAAACATCAGATACATAACTACCATCTGTTCTATCAATGAGAGGGATGGAGGGAGAGAGGGAGAGGGAGAGACAGGGCGCTGACAGTGGTGGGAACCGCGAGATGCAGGTGGCCAGAAGACTCACTTTTTAACTGTATTCCTTTCATACCTGTTCAATGTTCACCCTATGCCTGTGCTATTCCATTTTAAAGTAACTGTGAAGTTTAAAAACTTAATAAAACATGAGATTCTGTGAAAACTCAAATGTAAGGCAGCACCTTCTTTTCCTGGAGGTAGCTCGGGAATGGTCACTGGACTCGCTGTGGACGAGGCCAGCATACCCAGAGACCAGAGGAGGTGGCTGTTGGCTGGGTCTCTGTGCATGCATCAGCCGGAGCTGACTGTCCCCAAGCAGCAGGTGACCGCTGAGCTACACAGCTATCTTCAGGGCTCAGTGAGCAGCCTGGCTCCCAGCTCCAGCTCGGGCTAAGTAAAGAGCAGACCTTAGGTTCCCTGCAGGCTTCGGGTGGGCAGGTCTGATATTTGTACTTTGAATGTTTGTAGTATTGTGTCATTGCCCTGTGTGGACAGCTTCACATTAATTTCCATGTTTGCAGGTCACAAACTCTCCCCCGGGCGGTGGTCATCCTACCTCGGAGCACATGCACGGGTCAGCCAGGAGAATGCTCCTCAAGCCTGTTTCTTTTCTGAAAAACTGTGATTAAATGCTTTCCATTTTAAGTTTCCCCAACATGCCATGCTTCCAGACAATGACCCAGGGCACAAAAACATGTCCCCTGAAAGTCCTCCTTACAAAAGTTCATCTCATTTTTTTCCTCTTTACTTCTGAAACGTGGGGTCTGGGGTCAGCCTTTCCCCATCCTCACAATTGTGGTTCCCCCATTCAGCACCTGGAAGGGGACTCCCACCATAGGTGTCTGACACGGAGCCCTCCTCTCCTAAATGCCCGCCTTGCCAGCAGGTGATTCACTGCTTTCTTGCAGAAGGTGCCACCCAGTCAGAACAGCCTTCTTCAGACCCGTACACTCAAACCTCCCCATGTGCGGGTCTGGGGTTCATGCCTCTGAGAGAAGCTGGCTTCCAGTTCTCTTCTACCATTGGGGGCAAAACATTAGGAAAATTTCCAAAAAGAAAACACGATCAGTAGAGTTAGCTTCTACTCAGAGGAACGGAGACCAATCTGTTTCAGGCCAGCTGAAGGGTAAAGAAGTCTTTTTGGTTTTCCAGTGGCTCTCTCTGCTTTCTCCTCACAAATGCAGGCAGTGCAATTTCAATATGGAGGGCAGGGTTTGCAGCCGCCCTGGTGCTGGCAGGCGGACACAGCCACGGGGAAGCAGGGCTGTGCTCCCCGCTGCTGCCATTGGGAGATCTGCCTGTTGAAGCTCTCAGGGTTCAGCCTGGGTTGTGGGTCATTTCAGTCCTGTCCTGGGATTTCCCGGGGAGACATGAGCAGGGTCTGCTGCGGTCTGGGCTTTGCTTTTTACAAGCAGCTGCCTGGGCTGTATCCTCACAGGCCTGCTACTTCATTTCTTCTGAGAAACGCATCTGAAGCTTCTTTTCCTGCTGAGCCGTCTGCACCGAGGGGGACTCACTCTTCTGAGCACAGTCACAGGGTGACAGGGGCTTCACTTCCTTAAGACGGCTTAGCAACGAGCTGTGCTCTTTCAGTGGTCAGCAGATAAATAACACCCCTCAGGTACTAGAAGTACAGGCTTGACACGAATCGTCCTCTTCTCCTAGAACCGGCTCGGCCCTCTGTCATGACCCCTCCATCATCCAGATGAGTCTGGACTCAGGACCCGGAGTCTCCCCTTTTGGGAAACAGTGCCTGTGACTCTGAGCACCCCTGGGCTCTACGGGTTTTAGTTCCTGCAAGCACTAACCTTGGAGAACGCCTTTGCCACCACAGAAGGCTTTATTCGCCCTTGGGTCATGGGTGCTCACTTACGGGGACCACCAACTGTCTGGGTCCCATGTGCCCTGCCCCACCCTGACACCCCTGACACAGGAGACTGTGGCTGTCTGTGGGAGCATCAGCCTGGCCAGCCCTGTCTTCCCAGCCACAGGGCTGACATGGAAGTGAGACAGGCCTTCACCTACTAATCCTGGGGACCCCAGAGTGGCCTTTACTGACCTGCAAATGGGCTGCTCTCCTCCATTAAGCGCTGATAAGTGTCTTCGTGCTGCAGCCGGACCTTCCTTCTCTCGGACGCCAGGTCGTGCTCTATGCGGTCTTGTTCAGTCAGGAGTTGGACTGGTTTTAACTCAATCTAGAGAACGAAAAACAGTGGCCGCTCATTGGTACATTTTAGATACACTTAGTGATCACATTCATCCTAGGGAATTTGGACTTGCGACGGTGGATCTTGTCTTCTTTGTTCCCCCCATTTTCATTGCCTCATTAAATTATAAAAGCCACTGTACATTTCAAAGAAACAAATTATACACTACAGGATTTTATAACTCATGCTTTTAAGGGAATTTTCATGGCACAAACATTGCCTAAATTTTTCCTTAAACTATTTTTAAGTTTAAAAGTCAGCATAGGATTACTTCTGCTTTCATATAATAAAGATGTACTTTAACAACTATCCCTGTTCATTTCCATTTTCCTTTTTTTTGTGTGTGTGGTGCTGGGGATTGAACCTAGGCTTCCCTGTTTATTTTCCTTGATTTTAACATTTTTCAACAGAACTAGAAAATCTGAATTCTTTAGATTGATAAAGGAAGAAAGGGACTGTGACTTCACTGGATTTTTATCAAGAAATATTTCCTATCTTTTGCAAAATAAGATATCAAAGGGAGGGAACAGAGAGGCTCTAGAGAAATCACCTTTTTTCCAAGAGCCATTTCCAACTGGGAATTTCATCACATGGTAAAAATATTATCTACTAAACCAACTAGAAGGATCAGTGTGTCCAAGGCTCCAAGTGACCTCAGGAAACCTGGACCTCCAGTGCAACTGTACCAAGGGTTCAGCCTTTGCCCCAGATGGCAATCGGCTGAGCCTATACAGAAGGACACCTGGATCCAGTCCAGACCCTTGACCCAGACTAGTGTGAGAGAAGCTAGTGACTCATCCTAGGGTGTTCAGGAATGCACACCCTGACAGCTTACCTTGGTTTCCCTCTGTATAATCCTCTTTCAGCCACGTGGCCAGTGAGCTACAAAAGCCTGCTTGGTGAACTTGTGCTCAGGTTGTCCTGAAACCAAGGTGATCCCTGTCTGCATGTGGGAATTGACGAAGGACCTGTGGGCCCCTGTCAGCGGCAATGGAGCCTCTCTGAGGTCAGCCTGTGCCTTCTTTCTCCTCCAGCTTCCATAAGCCTGAGGCGAGCACACCCCGGGAACCTTTCTGCCTGCAGTGATCCGACCCGGGATTATGAACCAAGACCTGTTCATCATTGCCCATTGTGTCCTGGAGGAAGGTTAGTTCACACAGAGACCCAGTGGCCCTGCTGTTCAAACCAAACTATTGCTTTGCATGGTGCTTTCCTGCTGCTTAGAAAAACTCCTGGATAAGCATGTTACCGGCTGGATAAGAAGTTAGTCTGGGAGGGTGCTTTACAAGGAGACTAACTTGAGTTACAGTGACACTGAAAGGTGCTGACTCCCCAGCAAGGCCACTGCGACAGTTCCTCACTCAGCAGGGACTGGGCTTGCAGAGCAAGAAGTCTGAGGCTGGGGGTGGCGGAGGTCCTCCTCCTGGATCAGAAGGTGGCCACGCGTGTCCTCCTGCCTCTGGCTTTCAGCTGTGGGAACTCTGCATTCACCCCGTAATTCTTCCCCTCAAAGTTTAGAGATCTGGAGAGATTCCAGTAAGTCTGCGGAAACCTCTGACAATGTCTCAGCTTCTCATGAACGTAGGGTTCACAGGATGCTTTGCCAAAGTATGGATTCTTGATGGTGCCAATCCCTCTGGGGTGGGACGGAGTCTCGGTGCTGATTTAATGTGCATTTCTCTGATGGCTCCATGCTGAATGTTTCCATGGGTTTCCTGGCCATATACCCTTCTCCTGAGAAGGGTCTATTTATTTCCGTTGATTAGGCTTTGATTGAGCCTTTCCTGGGAGAAGGATCTCTTTTGTGTCTACCCCAAGGATTCCAACTTGGTACGTCCTGGTAGGGCTCCGAAAGCTGCACTTTCAGCAATGGGAGCCACTGATGGGAGCTGTGGTTTGGGAAGCAATGATGGGACAGCAGGGGTTTCCCCCTGAAGCACATTTATGCTAGGCCTGTGGTGCAGGGTACCCAGGTGTGTGACAGCCAGGTGCCCAGGAGGCCAGCCTGCCTCTACAGTGTGCCCAGGAGAGGAGCAGCTGTTGCTCACAGCCTGTGGGGACCACACAATAGTTGTCACCTGGCCCCACTGCTGTGGAGAAAGTGAGGAGAGGGATGCAGAGACCTCATGCACACACCTGGAGCTTCTTTGGAGGGAGACATTTACATTCCAAACCAACTATCACATTTAAATAATTCTCAGGGTCAGGCATCGTGGTGCATGCTGGTAATCCCAGCACTTGGGAAGCTGAGGCAGGAGGATCATTGGGAGTTCAAGACCAGACTGGGCTACAATGTGAGCTCAAGGCCAGACTGAAGTGCATAGTGAGACCCCATCTCAAAAACATAAATAAATAAGTAAATAATGCTCAGGGTAAAGGAGGGCCCCATCCCAGGCACCCCAACCCTACACAGCAACGGACATGAGGATGTCTTGCAGCCTGGGTGTGGCCTGCAGCATGCCAGCAGGCACATCAGGACTTTGTGATGCTTAGAAGGGTGTCACCCACCCCCAGGTCCCCAGAGTCTTGCTTTACAGTGAATACTGACGAATAACAAATTTTGAGACCGGGAGTCTCAGGATAAGAAGAAACCTTTCTCATGCAGTTACTCTGTTACCCTCTGATTTACATGAAAAAACAGCTCTTCACATAAAAGATTTACCTTTTCTCCTCCAGCTGGTTTGGCCACAAATGTAGAAAACGCGATGCTGACAAGCTTCTCAGTGCCAGTGAGTGTGTCCTGAACCATGACCTTGATACTTATCTAAGGAAGACAAACAGATAAACTTGGAGTCATCCAGGTATGAATTCAGCTGCCCCACTGAAAACCTGGCCCTGCACTCCATTGATCTTCTCTTTTGTTTTTAGAATGAAAGTGCTTTCATTAATTTTAAGCAATACTGTTCTTTTGATAAATGTTATACAAACAAAGACCTTTGCTTTTCTTATTGGACAAATACCTTTTCTTGACAATAGGACATTTATACATGTAGCATGAAAAAATTGTGGGGTTTGATTTCTCACAGTAAATATTATTAATAGTCCAATCACCCAGAGCTGTATTGTTAATCTTTAGGTAGATTTTCCTCCAGTCGCACACACACACATACACACATATGATGTTATAAATATAAAATATGAAATATATATTCTATAAATGCATGTGTATATACATGATAAAAATGATCACTGTTTACAGATTTATATTCTAATTAATAATTTGGCATGATGTGAAAAGCATTTTCTGTCTCATTATTGGCAGAGGACACTTTTGAAAACAAGGTACTAATGACCATATTATATGTCCATGTGAGATGTATCAAGGTATTTTTATCATTTATCCTCTGTGTTTTACCACCAGGACAGCCTGGGCAGGACTTAGCTGTGATAAACACAGCCAGGCTTCCTCCTTCTGTTCTTCTGGAGGAGCGGGAAAGTGGCAGAGGAGGCACTTCATGAGGACGCTGTGCTGGACTGGATTCGCCGCCCCCAGCCTGTGAGGGGCTCAGAAGTTCATGTCCCAGTGCTTGCACTGCACCGGAATGTGGATGCCCTCCTGAGCTGGTGTTTGCACTGCAGCCATACTGCCCTCCTGGAGTCAGGGATGACCTCAGGCATTGCCATGGTTGATACATTGTGTCAACTTGAGAAGACTACAAGTAACTCAGCAGGCTCCATGCTGGGGTGTAGAGGACAGGCCCTTACTTCTCTAGGATATTGTCCATTGTGTCAGTTTGCGAAGGCCAGAGGTTTAACTACGCGACTCAAGAGAGGGCCAGGGTCCTTACTTTGTAAATATCTTCAGCCTGTGCAAAAGGAGGCACAGAGGTGATATGAGTGCTACACCCAGCTGAGGTGCGCAGCCTGCTTACAAGCTAACAGAGGAAAAGAAAGAGTGGGGTTCCCTCCTTTTTGCCCTTTTGCTCTTTTGGTATCTGCCACAGCTGCCATGAATGGTTACTTCTTAGCCACACTACCCTGTGTTGGAGCCAGCTGATTATGAACTGAAACCTCCACAAACTGTGAACTAAATAACCCTTTCCTCCTTCATTTTGGCTTTAGGTATTTTGTCTCAGTAACCAGAGAAAAATAACCAACACAGGCATCTTAGTGCATCACAGAGCAATTAATGATAAGGAGCATCCATTTCCACCTCAGTACCAGGTACATCATGTACAGAAGCTCTCCATCCTTGACTCATTTTAGGACATTTAAAATACAAGTTAGTCCTTGCATGATAAATTTAAGATAACTAGATGTACATTAACCACATTTAGCTCATCTATTCCTAACCCTCCAACTCACTCATGCTCCATAGCTTTCAATTTAGAAAAATACTGAATGGAAGATGAAATAAAGTATCTAGTAAGAGTGAAAACAAGCAAAACTTAAGCCAGGGAAATTTTGCTGGATCATGCAAGTAAGTTTGGAATTAAATCCCATAAAAACTACTAGACAACTGGACAAAGTATAAGCAGTTATTCTCACACATAGCAAAATAGGAGCTATAAGACTGTGTTCCTGGGGAATGGGAAACAAAGGAAAGGAACATTACCTTCCCCAGCTCTCACCTGAAGGAAATTCCCACACTAACTTTGCTGAGTGGAGGAGCCAGAAATCACAGTGATCAAGAGCTATAGGGAAGCACAGCAGAGAGGAGAGAGCTACAGGAAGGAAAATTTCTAGAAATATCTATAGGTCTCGGTAAGTCTTGGGCTTGATGCCATTATGATCATGAACAAGGCGAAATCTCAAAAACTTTCAGACAAGAACAACTTCTGAGAAATAAATCAGCTGAGCCTTCACATGCAATGAGGAATCTTCAGAGTTCTCTTCAGCCCTACCTCGCTGAACATGCAATGCACACGCCACAAAAGATGCCAACTTAGAAGAAGGATCAAGTTAACCTGGCAGAAAGACCTGTTGTAGATCTTCCATAGAAGAGGTAAAAATGAACCTTTTGGGTCAAACTAATGTGGAAGTCACATCAGCCTGCTGCAAAAAATTCTGACACTCTTCTTACAGAAATACAGCAAAAATCTCACTAAGCAATGTAAAATTCATAGTGTACACTGAATTAAAAAATGATTAAACACAAGAAAATTATTAGGTGAAAGGTACTTAAAATAGAACAACAATTGACAGAAATGATGAAATTAACCAACAAGGACATCAAAGCATCAAGTATGTATGTGTACCATGAGACCAAGAATATCAAAGAGTGAATCAAAAACACAATTGTTACAGGGTAGGCAAGACTGCAAGTGTGCCAACTTTGTGTACACACAGCCTCTGTCACAACATTCAGCTCTGCTAATGTAACGTGGCAGCAGAATACACGGACCATAAAGCAGCAGGCATGGCTGTGCTCAGTCAGATTTATTTATAAAAATACATGGCTGGCCCTCAGGCCATACTTTGCTAACTCATATGAGCATAAGGGAGAGAAATGTAATATATAAAAGGTACTCAAATGGCACTGAAAAATAAAATATCTGAAATGAAAATATACCAGATAAGATTACAATCAGATAATATGCTGCAGAAATAAAGATCCGTGAAACCGAAGGCCATTATATAGACAGAAGGAAAGAGTAAAAAACACAGAAAAAATGTAAACAGCATCAGTGTCCTGTGGGGCACTAATCAACATTCTGAAACTCTAACCTGCAAAAGAAGACTGGGCACAGGGGATTGAAAGAAAAAATGTGTGAAGACAAAATAGCTGAAAAAATTCCTAATTTGTTAAAAGCTATAAACCTACAGGAAGTAGCTAAAAAAAGAAAACCCAAGCAGAATTAACTGGGAAGGTAATCACAAGGCATATCATAACTGAATTACTGAAAATGAGTGGCCAAAGAACAACCAAATCTTAGAAATACACACATAGTGTGAATCAAGAACAAATATAAGCATAACAACAGACTTCTTGGGAAACTATGCAGGTCCAAAGGCAATGGAGACACCTTTTAAAGAACTGTCAGAGGGAAAACCACGGTCAACCAGAATCCTGCACCCATGGAAAACACCTTTCAAGCATGACAGGGAAACAATGGCACTTCCACACAGCTAAAAGCCAGAAAAATTCATCACCAGGCTTACAGTGTAAGAAATATTACACGAGAATCTTCAGACAGAAGAGAATGATATCAAGGAGAATCTGGAGAAGCATGAAAAAACAACCCTAGAAATGGCAAACAGGCAGGAAGGTTAAAATATATTTACCTCATATTAAATCTCTAAATAGTAACTGAGTCTGCAAAGCAAAAATAATGCATTGTGGGATGCGTTACATGTGTGGAGATGAAAGGTGTGAGCACAGAGATGAAGACACAGGAAGGGTAGCCGGGGCTGGGAGGTTATTAGGCTCTGCCTAACGGAATCAAATATTAGTTGAGCGTAGACTCAGGTAAGTGTACATTTTGTAAACCCTAAAAAAATACTAAAAAACAAAAAAAGCAGGCTAAAACACCATGTGAAGATAAGATTGATTACTAAAAATTACTCATTCTGAAAATGAGGGAAAGGAACAAAAAATAATGGAACAAATAGAAAACAAACAGTAAGATGACAGCTTAAAAATTTATCATGTTAATACTTATGTTAAATGAGAATAATTTAAGCACAATGTGACATTTAATCTTGATTGTCAACTTGTCTGGGTTGAGAGATGCCTAGGGGGTTAATGCATGATTTTGAGTGTGCCCTGGCAGATCTTGAAGGCATGACCTTTGGAGCTGCGTCTGGCTCCTGGCCCTTTGCTCTCTGGCCTTGTACCCTGTGCTCTGCTTATTGGCCACCATGAACTAGCTCTGGTCCACTTCATCCTTCCACCTGGTGTTCCTGCCTTGGAGCCTGCTGACCATGGATGAACCCTTGGAAACTGTAAGTCAGACAATCCTCTTGTCCTTTAAGGTGTAGGGGTCAGGCATTTTGCCCTAGGAATGAGAAAGCTGAGTCAACCACATGCTAAGTAAAAGGCAGATTACTAGACTAGATAAAAAAACAACATCCAAACCTGTAGTGTCCATGGGAAACAATATATAAAACACATAAGCAAAAGAAAGTTAAGAGAAAAAAGATGGGAAAAACAATGCACACACACAAATGAATAGAAAGTTGGTATGGCTGAGTTAGTATCAAATGAAGTAGATTTCAAAACAAGAAACAGATACAAAGGTAGATGTCATAATCATGGCAGGGTTAAGTAATCAGGAAGATTCAACAATTCTAAATGTGATTGGGTCTAACAACAAAGTTTTGAAATATAAAGCAAACACTGATGGAACTGAACAGAAAAATATATGTCCATAACTATGGTGAGGCACCTTCTCATTTCTTTTTGGTGCTGAAAGACACAGGTAAAACAACCAATAAGAACAGAGAAAATCCAACCATGGTTATGGACCAAATTATCCTCATCAACGTTTGTGGGTCAGCTCACTGATTAGCAGAGTACACCTTCTCAAGCACACATAGAACACTTTCCAAGATAATGCCTACAAATGTCAAGCTTAACATAATTGGGATTATACAAGTAACTCTTTTCCTACAAAGGAATTAAATTAGAAATCAATAACATACTTGAAAGTTATCATCAAAGATTTGGAAATCAAATAACACACATCTAGATGACCAGAGGTCAAGGAAGAATTCATAAAGCAAATGATGGATTTGACATAGGTGAACAATGCTCTGAAGAACATCTGTGGTTTTAAATGCTGATATTTGGAAAAAACAGAAAAGTTTACTCAATTTGCTGGTCTTCTACCCAAATACTCTAGAAAAACAAAAGAAAGGCAATTAAATGTAAAACAAATAGGAAAATAGGAATAATGGTGATAATAATGATGACAGGAATAAAAACATCATGCTAAGTAAGATAAACTAGGAACTCTTACATGCTATATGGTTCTATTTATGTAAAATTCAGTAAAGAAGGAAAAGATATTCATCTAAAGTAGATGAGTGTGCACCAGGCATTGGAGGTGAGGGGTACTGATGGATTTCAAAAGGGCATGAGAGGAAGTTTGGTTAGCATGGGGATATTTTATGTGTACTATCATTGTGGATGTTCAACTATGTAAGTTTGTCACACTCATCAAAATGTGTAATTAAAACGGGTAGATTTTAATATTGTAAGTGCTATCTCAGTGAAATGAATTTTAAAAATATAGAAACAAAAAACTGCCTACCATTCTTCCCACAAGAGGCTCCTGATTACGCAGTGAGGCTTTCCTCATAAAACCCCAGAGTGGGAGGAGATCTCCTAAAGGAATAGGAGAACTGCTGGAGGTAGGGTAGGGCCACACCCAGCAGGGTTTCAGCTGGCTCTGGGTTCAGGGTGAAATCAGTAATTTTTTCTACTCAGCAAATGACTCCAGGCGATAACAAACAGAAATGGAATGGGATGAACTGGAAGGAGATGTTCAGTTTGTGAAAGTAAAAATAAGAATACTTAGTTGCCATCTAGTTTTAGAAAAAGGAAGGCAAAAAGCAACAGCAACTGTAGAGCAAGAAATCTGCACCACGGGCAGAAAGGAAGACAAACTCCGGGAGCGGCCATGAGTCATAGAGCATGCGCAAAAGGGGCCAAAATGGCGCCCAAGGGCTCATGCTTTGCAAGCTAGCTGGGGCCGGGATTTTTCTTACAATGAGAAAAAAGCTGTACTTTCAAATTAATTGGACTTTTTTCTTAGCTTCTAGAGAAACTTTCTTTAAAACCTCCAACCTGTTTCAAAAAATTGGAGAATAGGGAGAAAAAGAACTTTAATTTCCTGTTTGACTCACAGTAAAGGGACATTCAGTCATCTCCTGAAAGGAGCCTGGTGCTCCTCAGAAGGGAAGCCACGCCCAGCGCTGCGAGGGGCGAAGGGCCAGAGCCCCAGCCAAGGAGTCCAGGTCTTGTTAGAACTATTTTTCCTATATATGTTCCTCCTTTTTATTTTAATGTTTTGTGGCCTTTGCATCTGGATACTGGTGGGAGGTAACTACATTTTGGCAAAGCCATCAGTGTAGACGCAGATACTGCCAAAATAGTTCTGTTAGAGTTGAGTTGTGCCCTCCTTCCCAGATTCCTGTGTTGTTAGTATCTCAGAGGGTGACCCTATTTTGGAAACTGAGTCATTCAGATGTAATTAAAATGAAGTCACTCTAGGATTGTTTTCTAGTCCAACGATGCTGTCTTTTACAAAGGGTCAAGTAGAACACACACTCACAGGGGCACACATGGGCAGTGGAGAAAGAGCTCTGGGCATTGCTTTGACAGCCAAGGCATGCAACGATCCCCAGCAAACCCTGGAAGTTAGGAGGCAGGTGTGGAATAGTTTCCCCTAACATCCTCAGAAAAGAACAATCCTGCTGACACCCTGACTTGGGACTTCCAGCCTCCTGGACTGTGACATTATGAATTTCTGCTCCTTTGTCGTGAAGGCTAGAGGGAACAACCACTAGCTCCCAGGTGCCTTTATTTCCTGGATCAAAGTGACGGCCACTGTTAAAACTGGAAGCTACATCCTGTGCTCCTTTCTGCTTATTTTACCCAGGGAGAGACTTTGAGGGCCTTAAGAATGTCATTTCACAACTGTGATACAAGAAGTAGATGTAGAAGAAAAACATTCTAAACTTCTTTTCTTACCAAAGCCCCTTTTCTCTGCCTTTCAAAGACTAATGAATCATGGGCCCAGTCTCCGCAGGAGTATAAGGAACCAGAACAGAGTCCGATAACAGTGGAGTCAGGAAAATCAAGGAGTAAAATTACACCTTGCAGAGAACCTGGAATGTGCCCTTCCCTATCCCTTGCAGGCGCCCTTCCAGTGCAACCGTTTGTGAAAAGCAGCAGCGGGCAGCCCTGGGTTCTAGTGACAAGGCTCCCATTGTTTACTTGGGAGTCTGAGACAGGTTTAAGGACCTTTTTATACCTCTGTCCCACTATCAGTAAGGCTATTACAAACCTCCCGCTCTGCTGGCTAAACAACAAATGGATGGGCCCAGCAAGCAGAGCTAGGAAAAGGGCCCTCTTACCTCCATGCTGGTTTTGAAGGCTCTGGTAACTTTTGCTCTGATGGTTATAACTTGCCCAACTCTAGTGAAAAAAACAGAAAACAAAAACTAAACAGCATTCTCAGCACATCTTATTTCCCAGTAAAGCTGTACCTAAATAAATGCATGAGCCATAAGGCAGAACCACATCTTCCATTCTCCCCCAGACACACAATTCCCAACACTGTAACTTGCAGGAGGAGAAGTTTACTTTGGGTCATGTTTTAGTCTGCGATCAACAAGCCCCAAAGAAGCAGCGTGGCAGGGCCTGGCAGACTAAAAGAAGCTCACCTCATCGAGGCCAGGAAGCAGAGAACAAGGCAAGGACTGGAGGTGAGAGACGGACTTTTCCAGATCACACCTCCAAGCAATCACCTCCCCTGACTTGGCCCCAACATCACGCCAGAGATAGTGTCCTCATGATCCAATTGCCTGCCACAGGCCCAGAGAGCTGGAAGCTTTGGGGCAATTTATGTTTTATATATCCAGGTATAAACCATGATTGTAATAATGTTTATGCACAGAAAACTTGGGTTAGTGATAACAGAAAAGACAGGGCTTAAGGACAGATTGTGGTCCCCATAAGTCACTTTGGAACTTAACCTGCAGAAACAGACTCTGCAAATGCTGCATGCAAGGAGAATTCAAATTTACAACAGATGCTTTGAGCTTATAGCTGCTCTTTTTCCAAAGGAAGTTCAGAGAAACCTGTACAACTAACACTTATTTTTAAATGCTAGTGAATAAATAACTGGATAAACCAACACATAAGCAAGTAAGCCAGCAGGCTGATCAGCTTCACAGACCTGGACACTGCTAGATGACCCATTTGCTCCTGGCTTTGAGTTCTGGTCCTTAGTCACTTTGGATCCTTTTACATAAGCAGAAGGTAAGAGTCTGCCAGTAGAAGCTACTTCGCTCGTTGTGGTCTGAGTCTGGATGTCCCCTCAAAGCCTCTTGCAGTCTTGGAGGCAGGCTGCTAGAGTTTGTGAATGACTCGTGGTCCAAATGCTGGGATTATGTGTGTGAGTGCTACACTCAAGTGGGTGAGGCCTACATACATTAAAAAGGACAGAAAGAGTCTTCTCTCCATGCTCCTCCCCTTTTGCTCTGTTGCTTGTGCTGTTTTCCACCACCATGAACTGTTGCCTCTGCCATGTGCCACTCTGCTTTGGAGCCAGCAGAGTATGGACTTAAAACCTCCACAGACTGTAAGCTAAATAAACCTTTCCTTCCCTAATTTTGTATGTCTGATATTTTGTCTCAGCAATAGATATTCTCCCTTAACATCAAAGTCACGCTGTCTTATACAGTCTTTTGTTTCAGGGGAAGACTGTTAGATCGTCTCAAGATCCCATCTTCTTCCTTACCTTGATGCTGAACCTTCCTATCACCTTACCTTTGTCCCCTGCTCTGTCCTGCAGATCACCTCTTTCCTCCTCCGCCTACTCCCTTCTCTGACTCTTCTTCAGTCTTTGAAAATATTCAAGGCTTCTCCCTCTAGAAACCTTTCCTTTAAATCTACTCTATTTTGAGATTTTTTTCTTTTGTTCATATTCAAGCTTCCTAAAGGAATCATTGATTTTTCAAACTCCTACATTTACCAAATATTCACTGAGTTAGGATCAGCCTCACGAGAGCTCAGGTGCAAGGTGCAGTGACAGTCCAGACAAGGCTGGGGACCTCGAGGACACTAGTACTCAGGACACTGGTGTGTAAACAGTCTAATGGATTACAAAAGAATTACTGACAATTCATTAGCAATGAAACCCCCTTTCTACAGCTGAGCAAAGTACTCTTTCTGGGCATGGCATGGTAGGAACAACCGCTTGCCCTTTATCAGTGCAGCTGCAAACCAAGCACTAAGCTGCATGCGTCAAGTCATATCTAACAATGAGTCAGTCACCAAGTAAGTGACCTTCAAGACAGGCATCATCACCTGCTTCCTTCACACCAGGAAATGATCTGAAAGGGCAAGAGGGCAGCCACTGGCCGGAGTCTAAACCATTTGGCCCCAGAGCCTGATGACATTGGAGCACAGTGAGGACTGGGCCAGATGCGTACAGGTCAGGCTCCCAGGTGAGTCACCCAGGTTCCCTAAGAGATGACCTCACCCGATAGAGGCTTTGCACATGCCCTGTTCTCTGTGTCCCACACCTGTCCAAGCCTGGCCCCTCAGTCAGAAGAAGGAAGAGAGGCATTTCACGCATCCACACATGTGTGCATTAAAGTGACAAATTCCTGTGTTGCAGCTACGAACAAATCCACAGCCCTAGTACAACTGTATTAGTCCTTAGCTTTGTTTTGCTACTGTGGAAATGTTGCAGCCCACTAACAAAGCCACAGAGAGGAAGTCAGCAATGCTGAGTGAAACGAACGATCTGCCTTTACCCTTAGGCTCAGAAACCCTATTTTAGGGCTATCTGCCAAAAACATACAGGCAAAAAATATGAAATATATCCACGCAAGCCTGCTTTTGAAGTATTATTTTTAACAGCAAAACCTGGAAGTCATCTAAATGCTCATTGACCGGGGCCAGCTCACAGAATGAAGGCATGCATCCTAGTCACTTTCCCATTACTGACACCCGCAAATTAGAAGGGGAGGGGCTGATTTGGGCTCTTGGATGCAGTCCCTGGCTGGCTGCTTCAAAGGCAGAAATGGTGCAGAGGCCTGGTGGAGGATAGCTGCCCAGGTCATGGTGGCCCGGAAGCAGAGCAGAAGAGGAGCCGGGGAGGGAGACGCAGTCCACCTTCCAGCCCAGCCGAGGCCTCGCCTCCTCATACAGCACACTGGGCTACTGGACTTGTCACAGGGTAAATCCACCCACCAGGGACAGCACCCAAGATCAGGTCACCTTCCCAATGCATGAGAGTTTTGGGCATCATTTGTAACCCCTAAATACATGAAAGATTCAGAATGCATGAAAGGTTTGGGGATCATTTGTGATCTAACCCATATCAGCCTCCACATGGTGTGCAGTTATTAAAAATGCAGAACACCTCTGTACATTGCTGTGGACTGATTTTCCACATATTAAGAGAAAAAAAAGACATGGAGAATAGCATATACAGTGTTGAAATTAGTTTTAAAAGGCTATACATAAAAACATTTGCTTACATTTTTAAAATAAATGGGGAAATCATAAAACAAATATAATGTTTACTTATATAGGGAAGAGAGGAGAGTCTAGGCAGAAGCTAGGTAAAAGCTAAATTCCCAGGACCAAACGTATCTGTTTTCCAAATTTGAACCTTGTACACATATGTATTTTACATTTTAAGACAAAATAAAATTGAAGTGAAAAGGAACCTTTAAAAGGAGCAAATAAACTTAAGTACAGTGGAGTTAGTAGTTTAATCATGTGGGAGAGGATTCCATCAGTTGACTTCCAAAAACAGTGATTACGGTTATGCTACATCATCTAAAAAGAGCCCCAATCTTTCATACTCTACTGTTCTCTCGACTGTTACATATTTTTCCATCTGAGGGGTTCATGGCAATGTGTGTTTCACTGCACTTTAATACAGATTTTTAATTTAAAGACATTGTATATTTTGATCATCCCATGTAGGTCTGAATTACTTACCTTGAAATTTTTTACACTAAGTTAGTAAAACAACCTCATATACTGAGTGTTTCACCTGTGTATGTCTGCACAGACCAGTCAGTGCTTACGCAGAAGCCGGGGGTGAAATTCGCCATCGCAGAGGCCCTCGCTATCCTTACTGTCTCTTCGCAGGCATTGGAGACATCAGGGCTGGGATGCCTGGAGGCTTGTGATACCAGCCCCACGATTCAGCCAAACTGGGCCACTCCTCAACAAAGTGGACCCAACCTGCCCTTACAACACTGTCTACCAGTGGGCCCTGTGGTTCTGTTTTGATGCATTTACATTGCTTCCAATGTTACTTATTTTATTAACAAGTGGATCACTGACCCCAAACAAACAGGGATCACACAGACGTGGCAAGTGAACCGAGAGGCCCAACAGAGCCACTTACCTCGCTGTCTCCTCAAACTGAATGTCGTCCACCGAGGCTGTGACGCAGGAAAGCCCTGCGTGCTTCTCGGCTGCAAGAAAGGACAGCATGTGCTGGGTGAGAGGAGGTCAACGTTAGGGACAGGAATGCAATTTTAAGCAACAAATTTTAGTTTCCAGCCATGGTGCCCACTCTCCCAGGGTGCCCTGAGTTTGTAACAGTTCCTTGGCTTCATGAGCTACGTTTCTACTGTGTGGCCACCGGGTTTTCTCCAAAATTAGAATGCATACATCTTTACTTGAATTTCAATAATAGTAATCATAAAATCTGATAACTGTACATGGGGATTTTAGCAAGTAGGAGCTGGCTTTGATATGTTGGCAGGTCTCGCCCTTGCTTTGTTAAAATAAAACTCAGCTCCAGAGGTGAATCCGCTGCCTACCATAACTGGTGGCAAAATGTATTTAAGCCACTGTACACAGTATGCAGAGGCAGGAGAGACTGAGATCATCTTCTGCATCACAAATTCTCCAGCATCAGAGAGAGACGGGCACACAGGAGCTATTTATTGTTATTACTAAGCTGACTCTGCATTCCAGAGCATGAGGTGGGATGAGGCAGGGCTAGGGAGGTGCCTGGCAATCTCCATGCCCACATTCTGCAGACCCTGTGCCCAGAAGACTTTGGCTCATTGCTATTCTTGCTTTATATAAACAGCAAGAGTTTCCACTATTTGCTTCAGCTAGATTGTTTCTCTTTGAGAAATGGTTAAAATCTAAACTGATCACACTGGCTTTTAAAGAACCAAGCACCTCATTTTAACTCCTGGTGCTGGGTGTAAAAAAGGCAGCAAATTCTCCTGAGTTTTTATTCCTGTGGGTACTGATGACTGCAGCTGCAGTGTGTATCAGCCAAGTTGCCAGGTAAACTGAGGCAGCGGCTGAGAAGTTATTGCCCTTGGTCTAACTCTGGAGGAAATCGACACCCTGACTTTGTGAGTGGGAAGCAGTGGGTCTCCAAGCATGCGCATAACCTGATCTGAGTTACCAGGAAGCCACCCTAGCAGGCAGAGCTCTGTGTGCAGCAGTGGGGGGCAGGGTGGGCTCCCCACTGTGAAGCTCAGGGGAGAAGGGGGACGGAGGTGTCAGGCTCTGGAGCACAACGTGGCTCCTGAGAATTCAGTCAAATGTGAGCTAAGTTCTGGCTGATTTCAGACACTGAGCTGAATCAATCCCACTTTTAACCAGTGGGAGCTAGAGTCAGCTTTAGTGATTTTGTCATTGTTTCTTTTCATTCCTTTTCAATCTTAAATTTTCCAGATAACTACTCAACTGAACCTTTTCAAATATATGCTGTGAAACACTGATAGAAGAGTCACCTAATGAACATTTACTCCAGTTGCCTGAGGAGGAGGGAAAGGGATATGGAGGTTACTAAACTACTCTTACTAACAAAATGTCATCACGTGCAGCAAAGTGAGTTGCCAATTTTGAATGACTTCAGTGACAATAAAAATGCAGCAGCCAATGAAAGGTTAAATTTTTATTGCATCTACTGGACATCTACTGCCTATACATAGGCCTGTAAGGCCAGCTTACACAAAGCTTCAAGGAGAAACAGATGCATGAACATGTGTTTACTATTGGCTAGGCACAGAGCTAGTGTTTAGCATGTCAATCACAGGGAGTTGATAAATGGGGATATTTGGGCTTAGAAGGATTAACTATGTAATTTCAGTGGTGATTCTGAGTGCAGAAGTAACGGAAACTCTCAGAAAAGAGTATGATAGACCAATGAGAGGATGGTCCAAGAGAAGTATTGTGTTAAACATGGTCTGTGTAGCCACAGCTTGCAGTACTGAATTTCAGGGGAAGAGACAGAAGGGAAGGGAAAGGGAAAGGGAAAGGAAAAAGAAAAGATAGATGGCCAACAAAGGGTGCAGAGCTTTTGCGCCGGAGTAAGTGTGATTTCTTCTTTTTACAAGAGCATCATGATATAAACTCACAGGGTCATCTTGCTCTGGTTGTTGATTTCTGTTGGAATTTACAAAGTAGTTCAACAAAAGTTGACAAAAACCTCAGGACTGAAGATACAGCTCAATAGCACAATGTCTGCCTGGCAAGTGCAAGGTCCTGAGTTCGATTTCTGGAGCCCCTTCCCCCAAAAGTAGAAAAAGCCTAGAGCTGTTTCTGATCTCTTGGGGAAACTTGAAAGCAGACTAGCTGGGTGATGCAATGCATGGACGAGATGATGACTGCCAAAAGCAATGGTCACCTTCAAGTGACATTGATTTGACAGCTGTACCGTGCCACAGAAGTAGAATGGCCACGGCCTTCTGGTCCTGGAGATAGGGAAAGACCCAGGGGTTACTTCCACGGATGCTTACTAACAAAGCAAGTGCTCAGGACATGTGGCTGTCCTGAGTGTGTAACTGAGGAACCAGACCTTGGGGGACGTCAGGGAAGGCACGCATGTGAGCTGACACCTCAGGATGACGGGAGGGACATGGATGTGGGAACAGTGGGGAGAAACATGCTGGGCAGAGACCGCTGTGACTTCATAGCTCTGGTGACGGCCCCTGGGCTGACACATAGACAGTGAGGAGGGGAGGGAGCGTGTGAGGCCAGGACAGAGTGGGGCTGTGCCTTGAAGCTCCAGGACGCCAGTTTTCATGCCTCAGTGCTAAAGTTTCTGATGCATCCAGTGGTGATTTTAATCACTGTCCCTGACACAGTAGTGTTTCCTTGGCTTCTGTCCAGATTTCTCTTCAGCACAGTTTGACTGTGAGGTGCCCAGGAGTACTTAGTATTTTTGCACTACTCTTGCTTGGAGTTCTGTGGTCTTCTTGAATCTGTATTTGCACGTCTTTCACTAATCTTCTGGAAATTTTCAGCTATTATTTTTTAAAACTATGGATTATTGCCTTATAATTTTGCTCTCCTTCACAGAACTCTACATGTTTTGATTTTGATCTGGAAAGTTCCTGAGGAGCTTCGGTCCAGACAGAGGCGGGGCTTTTGGAAGGCGCCTGGGTCCTGGGAGCAGTAGCTGACTTGGTGTCAGGACGGAGGAGGCCCGGTTTCCTTGGTGTTAGGACAGTTACTGGTTCCTCACTCCCTCTCTGGCCCCTCTGTTGCCTCTCTGTTTCCTGGCTGCTGTGATGAGTGCAGCCCTCCTCTGCCCCGTCCTCCCTCCATGCCATTCCTGCCTTGGAGCCGTAAACAAGGGAGGACTGAAGCCTCTGAAACTATGCACCAAAATAAACCTCTTCTTTTATTGTAGGCGTCATGTACTGTGTCCCAGCTATGAGGAAAGTGACTGAGGCATTATACATATGCAAAACCACATCTGTCATACTTTATTCATTTAAATATTTTTAAGATTAGATAATTTCTACTGATCTATTTTTACATTTATGAACTCTTTTCTCAGGACTCATTACTTTTGAAGTTAAGGCCATCCAGTGAATTTTTTAATTTCAAATACTGTAATTAAGGTGTTACATTTCATTTTTAATAGTTTCTCTTTCTTTTCTGAGATTTACTCCCTTTTCATTCCTTATGATCATATTTTCCATGACATCTCCATCATAGCTACTTCAAAATCCTTGAAGCTTATTTCTAGCATCAAGATTGGTCTCCATGAAGAATGGATCATGTTTCCCTGTTCTTTTGTGTATCTAAAAATTTTGCACTGTATCCCAGCTATTATGTATCATCCACTTGAGAAACTGTGCCTCTGGTGTAGCCCTCTGTCTTTGTTACATTCTTGTCATTGTGATGCACTACCTGACACCCACACACAGCTCTACAGGAGGAGAGGTGTCTTTTGGCTCATGTTTCAGTCCATGGGCAGCCAGCTCTCAAGAAGAAACAGCAGAGGGTCTGGTGGAGGAGAAACTGCTCACCTTGTGGTGGGCAGGAAGCAGGGGGAAGGGAAGAGTTAAGGAAGAAAATAGATCCTTCCAGGTCATTTCCCTCAGTGATACACTTCTCCCAATCAGGGTCCATCTTGTAACAACAAGTCATCTGCAAACTCCCATAATACATCTCCTTTGCAAAGCTCCACCTGAGTGCATGAGACTTCGGGGCACTCCTACATATAAACAATAACATCTTCTGAAAAGGTAGTTAATTTGGCTAAAATTATAAGACCCTGAAGGTGGGTATACATCTCAGTTCTTTTGGCCTTAGGGAGGAGGCTTGGAGTCTCCTGTACAGACCACTTTAAGGTTGGCCAGAAACCTGGCCAAATAATACAGATAGATTTTTGGGGCTCTGGCTCTCTGGCTGTCTTCTGGAAATTTCCTCTTCATATTCCAGTAGATGTGATTCTCTCACACATTATGCTTTGGCTCTTCAAACTAATAAGGCTCTATTTCTCATTAGAAGTTTATCTGGGAGAAAACTGGAGCTTTCGTGCCTAAAGTCATTAAGTTACAACAACAACACACAAAATCCTCACAATAACCAAGTCACAAAAAACAAAAACTCAACTACTTCAGTTCTCTTCTTTGAGGCATTGGCTTCCATGCATACTGAGACTACTCTTGTTCCCTTGCACTTACGTCATTGTCATTTGGTGTTTTGTGCTCAATTTGTAGTTGTTATCTACAGATACTTTCTGCTAGAACGTACGTGGCCCAATGGAGGGAGTTTTTTAGCTGTTAGTAAAGAAAACAATGAGGAAAGATGAACAAAACATGTTATGTGGTCAGACTGGCACCTTCTAGGGGTATGTCAGCTGTGGTGTGGAGATGAGAACAGAATGGATGGGGAACTGGTGCTGAAGCCACAGTTGCTGCCCACAGTGTAAGGGGGCAGTGGCTTGGGGCAGGTGGTGGAAGCGTAAGCAGAGCAAAGGAGCTGGACTGGGAAGACTCCTCTAGCGGGTAACAGTGGTAGGACTTGGTCCATGGATTGGATACGGGGAAGAGGAAGCAGGCAGAGAAGTCTCCAGGATGACTCGCAGGTTTCTGACTTCACAGATGGATGAACTAGGTCCTACCCCTGACAGGGAGCTCTCAAGAAGACTCACAAACAACATACAGAGGAAAGTACAGGCTTGAGATGTTTCAAAATCAGAAACAGACAAGAGCGTAGACAAGGATTCAGCAGACTTCAAGGCTGTGGCTTGAAGGACTGGGGGAAACTGATGGGTGTAAAGTTTAATACTAAAATGACAGCAAAGATATTTAATCTTGCTTTAAATATTGAGGTCTAAGCAATGCCTTGGGTCATGAGCAGGACTGTTATTTATAATAGTAACGTTGGTTGTAAAAAAGCCCAAAAAAGAATCTGTTTTGTTTTTCTCTCTAGATTCCAGTACATTTTAACTAAAAAATATAGTGCTCTTGTGATGCCTTTTGTCAAAGGAAAAAGACAAAAAAAAAAAAAAAAAAAAAAGCATAGTCTTTAACATGAGCATTGCCTATTCTTCCCACACCAACTTATCATAAAGGTTCTTTAATATTAGTAATGCCAATACTGTCTTTTAGCTGGTACATAAATTAGCAGTAATATAACTACTAAGGTATAGAGAAATTGCCTGTTTTTGGTCCTTTCTGCATTTCCAAAAGTATTGATCTTTAGAAATTTTTATGGGGACACTAGAGGGCCAGTGGTTTCTCCATTATAAGATAGAGGCACTAAGCAAGGTAACTTCAAATTCGCTTTCATGGTCATGTGGTTTATCTGGTTGCCTTAGAAACAGTCACCACGTTAGCAACCTCTATGGTTTCTAGACTTGTTTCTTCTTTCTACATGGGGATGCATTTCATATTCTTGTTTTCATTATGTTACTACAGTCAAACTCAAATCCCGTTCCAAACTGCGTAGACAGAAACCAAACAGGTCAATAAGCAGAAAACAAACACCGTGGCTTCAAATATAACTGAATTCTATAGATACTAAGAAATCACAGATTAGAAACTTTAACACTTAATGAGAAAACCCATCAGATAGCTTCACTTTTGTCACCCATAAAAACAAGGGTTCTGGGAAACATGATGTTTAAAGTCCCTTCTGCTTCTAAAATTTACCCTGACATACATTAAAATATGTATTTGCTAAGTCTATTAAGTGTCCTACATAAAGTATACCTTGCCTTTGAACATGAGATTCTAAGTTATAGCCCCATCCATTCACCCATTCGGCAATTTTCAGGGACTGGGGAGAGCAGGGTGGTGACAGGGCTGACCAGAGATGCCGATCTGGCAACTGAGTCATTCTCTGTGACACCAATGACATGAAAGTGTAAAACTACAGCGACTTCTCTAAGTACACTTTTGTTACTGTGAAAATCAGCTCGGTAATCACTTTAATGAAGTAACACAGGAAGCCCTGGCGTATATGTGAGTATATCACAGTGGAAGAGTGTCGTTGTGTAAAAACTATGTAACAGTGGCAGCACATGTATGAAGGGTAATGGAAAGCAGGGTGAGAGTTTGCATTTACTGCGGTAAAGACACGTTTCCACAAATTCCCTTAAAAACGCTCCCCCTCACTTTAATACTCCTCGTTCATTCTTGCCACTTTGCGCAGTGGGTCTAGTGGTCCTCTGTCACGGGAGTCCTTAGGAGATGTGACCCTAAGTTCAGTGAATGTGGCTGTCCCGTGCCATCTGGGGAAAGGTGAGGGGAGGACTTTAGGGGATTCATAGCAATGCATCTTCTTGTGTCATACTTAAGGTAAACACTGCCTTTCCCATCACACCTCTACTAGGACAGTGGCTCAGACCGGTGGTTTGGGAGGGTCTGGTCTCAGGAACCTCAGGTTCCACGAAATAAGCGTGGAGCCCTGGAGGCTCGTGCGTGTCCTGGACACCTGGAACACCCACGCTTGCATTTAGCAGGCGCGAGTTCCTAAAAATGTAACTTCGCCAGGAAGCCAGCCTCTGGGTGACCTGTCATCCCTGTCCCTGCTTCTTCCCTCTGTCCCCTCCCAGGCGCGGACACCTGTCCTCGGGTTCCGGCGCCCAGCCCCGGGACCCCCGACACCCCGCCTACCCCCTACCTGCCAGGCAGGCCGTGGCGTCCACCCACTTGAGCAGCTGCCCCGCGCTGAGCTCGCCGCGGGCGTTGGCGTGCGCCGGCTGGATGGCCTGAGTCATGAGCGCCTCGCCGGGCTCCATGGCCCGGGACGCTGGGACGCTGCCGGCGGGGGGCTCCCCTGGGCGGGCCGGGAAGGGAACGGTCGGGGACAGCCCGGTCTCTCGGGAGCGGGCGCCGGCGGCGTCCCTGAGCCCCGCGGGGACGGAGGCGACAGGCGCCGCCCGGGTCGAGGGGGCCGCGGTGGAGGCGCTGGCCTCTGACACGGCTCTGCCTGCGCTTGGCTTTGTTTTTAAACACTTGTTTGCCGCGTGCTTGCTTTGTTTTGCTTTGCGAGCTGTGCCCTGTCACCTCGGGGCTCCCGTCCCAGCTGGATGCAAAATCCACCTCCGCCTCAGGTCGCAGCGGCGTGAGGCTCCAAAGATCACCTTGTGAAATCGCTCCCGGCTCCAAACGGGCCGGAAAAGCAGGGCTGGGGGCGGAGAGGCCGAGGCTGGGGCGCCTGAGGGCAACGCCGGCCGGGTCACGCGGGGGCCCCGAGGGTGCGCACAGCGCAGGGAGAGTCTCTTCTTGATGGGTCCAAAAACCAACACCTAGACTCGAGCTCCTACTCAGCAGGAAGGGCGCGACAGCGCACACTGCGGCCCCTGAGTTTAGGAAGCCCCCGTCTCAGCTGCTAGGTTTGGGGTGTCTGGGAGCATCCATGACGCAGCCAGATGCCAGGAAGGTGGGCGGCGGGCCTGGCGCGCAGCCCGGCGCGGGATCCAAAGTCCTGAAGTGCAGAGAGGAACCCAGCAGAGGGGACAAGGGTCTGGGTGCTTCGTCATCCAGGACCTTGGCCAAGTCCAGCCCGGCACAGAGCCCCGGGGAAGGTTCTGGTAACTTAGCTTCTCTTTCAGGCAAGGTTTTTTTCTTTGCTTTGTGGTAGGTTGCCAGCCCAGCTAAGCATAAGTAAAAACAGGATACACCCGGTTAGGCAGGGTAAGTCTGGCTTTTACAGAGAGCATAAAGTGAATACGTAAAACAAACGGCTCATCCTGGGTGATCCCTGCTGCGGCGATCTGCAGATTTATTTCAGTGTCCTGTGATAGCGTTTATGTTACCTTTGTCTCTTTGAAAAATGTCTGCGGAATTCTCAGTGCCTCACGAAAGCCCCTTCCGTACTAATGAGGCACTGCAGTAAGAGTCAGGAAACGAGATTAGGGTCCACACTTGAACTGAGAGCTCTGGGACTCTTTGATTGATGCTAAACTTGGCAGGGAGACCCACTGTGGAACGGACAAGGGGAGAAACAGCCTGGCTGCTGTGAGAGGGATCCCAGGTTTCCGTCCCCAGGAACTGAATTCTGCCCTGACATGATTCTATGCTCATGGAGCAACCTCCTACACAGTGCAGAGCTGTCTCCGCCAAATACAGATATATGGGGTGTGAATGAGAACTGTGTTTCATCATCTGTCACTGTGGTGTGTGTGGCTGTTTCTTACACAGCAGTAACTGGCAGTTACATGGGTGAATTTTAGGGAAATGATGGAACATGAAGTCTGTGTTTTGGCTGAGCTGTATTATTTTGAGTGAAGAGTGGTGACTAAGGTAGTAATATTGAATTTCATGTATTCTTTTAGATGTAGTTTCTTGGAAACTGTCAAAATTTGAATACTGCTTAAGTATAGGTGTGACAAGATGGCTTTGCAAAATGACTCTGTGAAAGTACAATCTGTAAATATGTGTCTAGAGATGCGGGATCTGAAACTTACGCTTGTGCTTTTTAATCTTTATCTTCCCCTTCTCATGTCTTCTGAGTATGCTTTCAGCCCTTTGTCTGGTTTCACACTGATTTTCATTTTAATAGCTTCTGTGTCTTTCTGAATGGGACTTCGGACCCCTCACATTGCAAAAGTCATCTGCACACGTGACCATTCCGTCTGCATTTCTCTCTGACTGCACGGCCTGCTGCTATCAGTTTGAAGAAAAGGCCTCTCCGCACTCCGTTTGCACTCACAGACGTCTTTTGGAGACGCAGGACATAAAGCCAGCCTGGTTTTAAAAGGTCACACCTAAGAGCAGAATTATCGAGCAGTGCACAGAGTTCCACAGTCCATGGCACAAGAGAGTTTCCAGTCAGAGAGTGGGAAAGGGACCAGCAGGCAGTCCCCAGGTGCTGGGCGCAGGGCAGCTGGGCTTTGTGCAAGCCAGCAGTAAGGAGCCCAGGACAGAAGGAAAGAGAAAAAGGGAGAGGAAGAAACAGAAAGGGAGGAGGGTAAGGGGGAAGGAGAAGGGAGGGAGAGACTGACAGGAGCAAAGGCTGAGCGGGATTGGGGAGCCTGAAGTTTACTGCAGAGGAAGCTGCAGGGGTGCAGACGGCGACATCCATGTGGGGTGCTCAGATGCCAGCAGCATCACCTGGGAGCACGTTAGAAACACAGAACCGCAGGCCCTACTTGACCTCCGGAGTCAAACCCGATGTCCCCGAGGCCCCCAGAGGACTCCCAAGTTCACGGAAGTTTGCAAGGAGCAGCCACGGCTTTCCCGCCACAGGGAGGGGAGCCAGGTTCTTGTCCTGTGGCTCCATCGTGGTGCCTGAAGGGCTGCTCCTAGGGAGCCCCTGTCCCCGGGACTCCTGCCGTGACAGCCCCGGAGTGCAGCCCAGGATTAGGGAGTCCCGGCTAGCAGCTGGGAAGCTCTCACAGGGACAGACCCAAGCGCGCTGACTTTATCCAGTTCTTCGCCATAGCCACGCCCCTAACTTGCGTGTGGGGCGGGGCTTTACTTCCTTGGGTGAAAAGCCAGTGTCTCTGTGGCCCGCGCTGCTCTGCCCATGTCTTCCCGGCCCTCGAATGATCTCCGACAGTGAGGTCCCCTGACTGCCACCTCGGCCACCTCGGTAATCTCGCGTGGTGCCGGGGCACATGGATTGCTCTGCCACTCTCTACCCCGTGGGTCACGCGTGACGCTGATTTCTATTTCCTAAAGGTTTAGGAAGGATTTTCATGTCCACATTTTAGAGAAATACAGGTCTGTACATTTTAAAATTATCTGTCTGTGTTTGCAGTGCAAGATTACATTCACAAGTCTACAGCACATCTTACTTCTTTCTGAAATCTCTTCTTTAAGTTTGGTTTGGTTTTGGTGTCAAGTTCATCAAGTGAGTCAAGAAGTTCCTCCTCTACATTCTACAAAGGACTGTGTAGATTTAGTGTTCTTTGAATGGTAGATTTCTCCAACAAAGCCATCAGAACCCCAGAGATTTCTCCTGTGAAATATTTGAATTACGGATTCATCTTTCCCCCAGTGCTGGAGATTGAGCCTAGGACCTTTTCACTGAGCTACAATCTTCTGAGTGTTTATTTTGAGACAGGGTCTCCCTAAGTCACTAAGCGAAGTGGCCAGACTGAGCTCAAATTTGAGATCTTTCTGCCTCAGCTTCCCAGAGTGCTGGGGATGACAGGTGTGCCTCCATGCCCAGCTTCTTTTTTAAAAATAGTAACCAGGCTACTCAAAGTATCTTTGGGGTGCATTGTGGTGGCATTTGGTTTTACAGAACTGGTCCATTTCATCTCCAGGTGATTTGCACCAGGACCCGGGGCCCTTCTGCTGACTGGCAGTGACCTTCCCAGGCCTACCGAGCCTAGAGCTGTCCCTTCCTATCCCTCTGGCTTTCCAGGCCCTCTCCAGTCTCCGCCCCTTCCCTTTCTTCCTTAACTGGCCCTCAAGATTCTCTGGCCTGCCCTAGAGTCTCTGCATCAGGAGCTCTGGGGAGTGACCACAGCCTAGGTTTTACAGCCCTGACATCCGGCTCGCAAACTCCTGCTTAGGGAGACATCTTTCATCAAAAGCAGTTTCCTTTCCAGCCTTCCCAAGAATCTCAGACAAGCAGCAGCCTTCTCAGATTGGCAAAAGCTTGTGCACTGGGGCAGTGAGGGCCCCGTGTGCGCCCAGAAGGCCGAGCCTGGGTCTGAGCCGGGTGACTCGCACGGGTGTGCCCTGCTCCCACTACAGTGTGGTGCAGTCTTCACTCGCCTCGTCGCTGAGACAATCCCGATGCCCACCACTCTCAGGAGGAATTTTGGCTCACATTTCAGTGCAGGATGGGCCAGCTCCCAAGAAGGAACAGAGAGGGGACACAGAGGAAGGAGAGCCGATCACAGCATGGGGGACAAGAAGGAGACAGGAAGCGGGAAGCTGGAAGGGAGATGCACCCTGCCAGGCACGCCCACAGTGACCACCTCTTGTGGCCAGCCCGTACCTCCTAAGGCAGTCAGCTGGGAGCCTGAGTCCGATTGCCTTTTGAACACACTAAGCTCTGGGCCCATTGTAGCCCTAACATGGTAGACCCTGGAAATTATTATTCAATGTAATCATGAAAAACATGATTTACCATGGCAAGTGAGTGCTCACAACCAGCCCACAAATCACATTCTTTGTGATTTCCAGAGATGGAAAGTGAAGTCCAGATCATTAACACTCACAAAGGCCACCGTCCCCAGGAGGCCTGGGAACTGTCCGAGTTCCCATCCCAGGGGCAGGAAACTGTGGCGACTTGTCCGAGACCACACAGCCTAGAGGAGGAGGGCTGGGGAGCCAAGCTGCCTGGGGTGCTGAACGTCCTTGGGGCACAGAAGTCAGACAGGCAGACGAAGGGCACTCTCACTGCAAAGTCCATGGAGTGGCTTCTAATCAAAGCCATGGTCTTTCATTAAATGTGTTGGTGACCCACAGCCTCCTGTGTCTAGGGCACTGGAAAAATGCTACGGGGTAATCAGACATGGCCCTTATCTTTATAGCTTTTGGAGTCAAGGACAGTATATGTAAAAATGCTAATAAATAGTGTAGCCGTGTGGTGATGCATGCCTATAATCTCAGAACTCTAGGAGGCTGAAACAGGACAACTGCAAATTTGAGTCCAGCCTAAGCAACCGAGGGACTTAGCAAGATGCTGTTTCCAAAAAAAAAGTACATTGTTAATTAGAGAAACTAGATGAAGATGAAACGGAATAGGCATGTTTGGAAGCTAGCTGATGGCTGTGTGTAGCCCCTCAAGTTATTTCCTGTTCTGACTAGGTATGACCAGTCACAAAGATTTTATTAGTCCTTATTTGCAGTACAGAACATGTAAAGTATTACTGGACATTTGTTTCACCATTACAGCACGCTGGGCAGTGTTTAAATTCTGAACAAATGCAGGGTCCACACAGATCATGTGGTGCCTGCCTAACGTTTATCAGTAGAAAGCAACCATGCCTCACAGCAGCCAGGTGCAGTCGGCTCCTGGGAATCGTCATCTTCTCTTTGGCTGAGCACTTTGCTGTTCCTTCCCTTAGAAACTGCAGAAGCCCAGATAGAGAAAACGGTTTTTAAAAAGTGGCTAGCACCAGCTGCGGAACCCCTAATGCTATGCTAATCAGGATTTAGAACTCAGAAATAAAACTTACAGGAGCTAAGCTTCATGAGTCTCTTTGGGAGCCCCATGGGAGGGAGCAGGGTACCGGCACAGGGTTCCTGCATTTTCAGGAGCTACTAAGGCAGTGATGGTGAAACTTTTAGAGACAAAGGCCCCACCTGCAACCCCGAACCCATTAATGTATTGCAAAGCAGCAACACTGCAATTAAATCCCAGCACTGAAGTTTTCCTTTAGGAAACAACTCATATGATAGCGTCTTTTATCTTGACAGAAAAACACAATAACAGAGCTTTCAGTGG